TTGAACACAGATCCTATAAAATCCGCCTGTAACAGTGGTTTATTAAAGAAACCATATGAGGGAATTGTATAAGCTTACAGTAAAATGTGAGAGAAGCCTTGTTCTCAGGCAACTTCAGCCATCTTCTATGCTGTGGTCTGCTGGAGAGGGGACAGTACGGACAGGGACAGGAAGAGACTCAATAAACTGATTAGGAGAGCGAGCTCTGTCCTGGACTGTCCTCTGGACTCCATAGAGGAAGTAGGTGAGAGGAGGATGTTAGTGAAAATCACATCCATCACGGACAACACCTCTCACCCCCTACATGACACTGTGGGGTCCCTGAGTAGCTCCTTCAGCAGCAGACTGTTACACCCTCGGTGTAAGAAGGAGAGGTTCCGCAGTCTTTCATCCCTGCCGCTGTCAGACTCTACAACACCTGATCAGTGTTGTAGTTTGTGTTTTTCAAATTACCACCATACCATAGCTTTAGCACTTTACCATAGTTTTTTATATCTGTATTTATTTATTTCAAGTAATTGCTGCTGTGACAAGGGAATTTCCCCGTTGTGGGATTAATAAAGTAATACAATACAATACAATTACAATTACAATTACAACATCCTGCTTGATCTCTGACCTCGTCCAGAGTGATGCACATGCATGTCTGAGTATGCATGGGTGGAGTGGATGTATAGCTGCTGTCCATGGTGAGTTGCTTGATGGGTGTTTAGATGCACTTTCATTCCTGTACAGTCAGAGACAGAAAAAGGAGTCTGCATACTTAAGCGTGCTGCGGCCTGGCAACCTGGAGGTCAGAAACACATTGTTTGTTTAAGCATAAGGCCTTACCAAGGACACAAGTCAAAATCCCTAAAAAGGCAGTACAGCAGTCGCTGTGTAATGTAGTTACACAACACACAGTGTGGCAGGCAGTAAAAGGTTATAGAGCTACTCCATCTAGATGATGCCACAAAGAAAGTTTGCCTGGTGGACACATGAAAACAAGTTGCCTCTCACATGGAGCATCAATCTGGGTAAAAGGAGGAGAAGACAGGTGGGTTGACTCTACTGTACTTTATACTGTATATGAAGCCTGGGAGATATTCTGTTAAAAAGACCCCGCATTTTGTTTTATCTCATGGCAAAGATGTACATCCCTTGAATTGGTTACTTAACAGCCTGATCTTTTCCCATACCGATTTTCTTTTTACAGAAAATGTTATGATCCACACAAGCATTATTATTAGAGTAAAAAGTATGTATACACCCCTCCCCACATACTTATGCCTGATTTTGGAGTCCCTTAGTTCCAGTAAAATAAATATTAAAGATCTGCTATGTAACATTTAGGAGGAAATGGAGTATAATATTCATAGGTGTGTTTTCATTAGTGTGTAATTACCTGAAAAGAAGAACTGTTTTGTCTTTGTTATCTTAGAATGAGCTGTTTATATCTACAGAGGCAGCCATGGATGTATTAAAGGAGAGCTGGAGATGGGGCTCTGTTCATTCCTACAGAAGCTACTCAGTGTCACATGAAGCCAGAAAAGTTTGATATCCTGGTATAAAATTTGCATCTTCTGCATATACTTTAACATCGTGTGGGGCACACAGAGTTCGAGTTATAATCTGAGTTTAGTGGGGGTCAATAAAATAAACAATGTTAGGAGTGGAGATAAATAAATAATAGCCTAATGGGTGGGCATTCTGTGTGTTCACACACACACGGCAGCCTACTACTACAGTAACAACTGCATCAAGGAGATTGTAAAACCTGAACCTCCCCTGCCATATTGCAACAAAGTTTCAGTAGCCTGAAATATGTCAAACTGAGACCAATCATTAAAAGAAAAAATGCACTTCTGCCCTTTTTAGTATCATATGAAAGAATGTTATTTTAGGCACTGCTGGCTGCCGGTGCACTTTTATTCTACCCTATGTAGCACTCCACGAGTACGAGAAAGGATTGTTTTTTGGGAGTTGTAAATCCAATAGAAAGAAAGCAGTCAATCTAGAGATAAATAATACTCATTATATTGAAAATGCATTACTTGTGATTAAAATAATGGTTGCTAGCAATATATTAGCAACCCCCACAGATGTATTACGGGGGCTCAGCTCCCACAATCCAAACCATAGCCCCAAAGGGTGAGCTCACTATAGTATGGAAGTATATTTCCATACTATAGTGAAGGATTATGTTGGAGAAACTTTCTGAAAATAATGAGTTAATATCATAAAGTCATTATTTTGAGATACTAATTCAGAATTTTCAAATACTAATTCAAAATATTGAGAAAGTTTCTCATTATTTTCAGATACTAAGTAAATATTTTGAGAAAGTTTCTCACTATAATGACTTCCAGAACTTTTCCCTGTCACATTAGTGAAAATGGGCTTCCATACTAGAGACTTCCATCGGCCTAGTTGCTAACTTCCACTTTAGCCCAGCACTAACTTCAGTGGAGTTAAAATGATTTAATGGTGCAGCTCTTCTAGACTTTTCAAAGCTTAAAGCTCTGCGCTCTTCCTGGGGGCTCTCTTCTGTGGATTCCGCCATTGTTGAACTGTCAGTCGACCAGAATGGACAAACTGAACACTGGCTCTAGATAGGGCAAGTGGAGGGAAAATGTGTTTTACATGAAACATTTTATTTTCTTGATGTGTTTTATATATAGATTATATTCAAAACAACCATATAACTTTATGTAGGCAGGATCTGTTTGCCAAGGAGAACTCTGTGTAATGATCAGCTTTCCACCTTTCAATACTTTTAAAAACCTTTTAAAGTCAACTCTGACAGAACAGTGTAATTGTTTTTAACTAGGTGCCCTTTAAGCTGTATGTCTGTATTAGCTTAAGTTAAGTGTAATGTCTTGTTTGTGTTCTAGTACGTATAGTGTATGTACAGAGATTTGTGGTGTAGTATGTAACCTTTGTCCTGTCTTTTATGTATATATTTTTTAAAACTTTTTGCCACCAGTCTTGGCCAGGAGTCCCTGGGAGAAGAGTAACTGTAACTCAATGGGACTTTTCCTGGTTAAATCAAGGTTAAATAAATAAAAATAAAAAAGGGTAACAGGCCCTGGGCACCAAGGTCATTTGGTTTTTCTTTCTCCAGAACTGTATCTTATTTGGTTGGATCCTCCTTTCTGTCTACTATAAAAAGAAAAAAGATATTATAAGCAGGGGCACAAGCTATATTCTCAAAAACATCTTTACCCTTATCTTCACTCAAGGATGTAAGAAAGCTGCAGGAAGGCACGTGTTCTCTGGGGTAAACAGTGGAAGTAACCATGTTTTCATGACCAACCAGAAAGTTTCCTTGTGTAATGGCGCCATTAAGTGGGTAAAAGTGTAAAGGCATATGATCATGAGACGAGTTTATATCCAATCAAGGATGCCCCACCCCCCCGGGTGAACTGTGTTGTGGAAGGAAACTTTGGAGTTTAAAAGTGTATGCCAAGAGAAATGGTGTCCTCTTGATTCATCCATTCAAAGCCTTCGTATTTCAGATTTGTATGTGCTTCTCTGTGGTATCAAGATTAAAACTATGTATGAAGTAACAAAGTTTAGTTGTTTTGTGAGTCAGCATGCTAAAGCCAGCATGCTAACATGCTCAAAATGACAATTTAACATGCTGATGTTTGGCAGGTATAATTTACCATGTTCACCATCTTTGTTTAACAAGCTGCTATTTGATACTTTGCTCTAAACGCAGCTGAGGCTGATGGGAATGTCATCAGTTTAGTAGATATTTGCTCATAAACCAAAGTGTTGGGCACAAAAAAAAAGTTGCACGAAAAGTGAGAAGATCACCAAAGTTATCCGAGGGGGGACATGAATGTCTGAAAATGTTCATGAAAAGTGTGAAAGCCCCTATCTAAAGCCAGTGTTTGGTTTGTCCGTTCTGGGCTACTGTAGAAACATGGCAGCTCAACATGACTGTAGAAGAAGACCTGCTCCCTCTGTAGATCAAAACAGCTCATTCTAAGGTAATAAAAACACAACATTTCTTATTTTCAGGTGATTATACATTATTGATATGAATATTATATTCCTTTTCTGACAATAGATCCTACTAAACGTTACACACTGCACCTTTAAGGCTGATCCATTCAGACCAACATCTCACTCAAAATTACAAACATGAACCTCATGGTGGAAGAAATATCAGGGGATCACTGTGCAGTCATTTCCCCTCTGGGCAACATTTTTGGCAATCCATCCAATAGTTGTTGAGATATTTCAGTCTGGATTAATGGATCAACAAACCAACATTGTCATCCCTAAAGCCGCGCTGCTAATAAGGCTAAAAAGCAGGCTTCATTTCATAAAGACATAACCACTAGATAAGAATAATTAATATCTTTATCATTTCAAATTCAAATGATATTTCATTCTACTTTCTTTACCTTGTAAATGTACTATAGTTGCAAATTATCAATACAATACTGTCTTTTTATCATAAAATTCAGTTCTCAGTTTCACCCTTCAGAAATGTACACCTACTAATATATCAGCTTGAGCTGATATTACTTCATTGATTAAAGTTGGTTAATTAGCAAGAATTCCTGTAGAATTGCTAATATCACTGATATTAGTGTTATTATTATTATAAATATTATTATTGCTATGGTTACTTTTGTTGCTGTTGTCACTGCTCATTGTCCCCCATCATTGCTGTTGTCATGTTCATCATCATCAGTCACTACTATTAGTGTAGTTGTTGCTACTGTTGTTGCTGTGCACCTGTCTGTCTCTCTCTCTCTCACCTCAACTGGTCGAGGCAGATGAGCCCCCACCTAGAGCCGGAGGATCTGTCCCAGGTTTCTGCCTTTAAACAGGCAGTTTTTCCTTGCCCTTGTTGCCAAGGTCTTGCTCATGGTGGTACTGTTGGGTCTCTGTAAATAATGTTATAAAGAGTTCGGTCTAGACCTGCTCTATTTGAAAAGTGTCCTGAGATAACTTCTGTTATGAATTGGCACTATACAAATAAAATAAAATTGAATTGAAAATTGAATTGAATAGGTTTATTTTGTGCACACAATAGTGGGTTAGGAGTCCATACTTCATCACCACACTAGAAAATGTTGTCCACTAGGCACTGGATAACTTTGTGCTCCCCTGTCCACATTCACATTGTATGTGGAACAACAGTGGACTGCTGGGAGGAGAGTGGAAAGTCAAAAGGAATTTCTCCAAGGGAGAACAGCTGTTGTCACCAGGTGGGTGAACTGTAGTTCTGGGGCTGTTCCCTCAGCGTGTGTCAATGGAAAACGTTTGGTCAAAGCTGTGGACTGAAAGTGTACTTTCACTGCAATAGTTACTTTTAAGACAGAGCAGAAAATCACATTTATAAGAAAGAAACAAATACATGACTAAAAACTGTTCACACTTACAACTTTACACCGTCATAATATAACTGCAAAACAGGCGGAATGTGCTGTGAACAAAAATGTTTCTTAAGTGATCCTAAGAATCCTTAAAGGGATAGTTTGGGTATTTTGAAGTAGGGTTGTATGAGGTACTTATCCATAGTCAGTGTATAACCTAGGCTACAGTAGACAGTAGTCAGCACACTGCTGAATACAGGGCCAACATGGAAATATATGAATATAACATTCCACTTCCGTCAATAGATCCTCCTAAATGTTAAACACTGGACCTTTAAACTGATAGATTTATTTTGAGGTGGGCTTTTTATGTGGATAAAATAAGTTTTTCTGCAGTCCCCGTCCCAGTCTGCTTCTCCAAACCAGGGGCACACTGACTGCCGTCTACTGCATGTAATAATGAAAGTGAGAAGCAAGATCTTGGAGCTATAGCAGAGTATGCTAACAAACCTGTTAAACAGACAGTTAGGCGTCCTATCCAACAGCACCCATCCCCTACTCTCTGAATTTCAGATTTTGCCCTCTGGCTCTCGGTTCAGATTCCCCAGTTAAGACCAACAGGTACAAGCACTCTTTCATCCCCTCAGTCATTTCTCTGCTAAATGCAGGCCCATGGGAAGAGTTAGTGGCCCATCACATAGAGAAGCACTGCTAGAAACACGTCTCAGGTAAAACAATCTCTTATCGCTTGTGCTGCATGTTGTAGGTTTTTAAAGACGCATAAAATTGCAAGGTTCAGAGTCGCACCACTTGTCAAGAGTCCAGACACATCTTACACACAACATAAAGGGCCTTACTCGTGGTATAATTTGTATTTACTTGCTCAAGTAAATATTCACCCTTTAATCTGGCTTACTACAGTGATATGAGCCCAAAATAAACCAATTTTGCTATGATTTAATTGCAATAAACAGATCACAATGATGCTGAAATAACTTCATCATCGATTTGTAAAACGTCTGAATTCATACTTTGTCGGGTCTATCCACAAGACGACGAGCAAACAACTTTTGAAATGGTTGTTTTCTGAACTGAGTTCAGGCTGATCAGGGCTATGCTAGCAGCTGTCTGTGGGGAAGCAACAGCTGAATTTTTCAGTCAAAGTTTAATATTTTCAACTTGAGCAAACACACAGATGGGGGGGATTACACCTATTCGCCCCCCAAATAAAGTTGAAAGTTGAAGTAACTATGGATGTACCTTATACAACGCCACTTCAAAATACCCAAACTATCCCTTTAATCCTATCCTTTAAGATACATTCATACTTTTCCTACAATCCACAGTCATACTGTACCCTGCTTCACCTTCTAATAACATAAACACAGCAGTCTCAGCATCTGCATCATCACATTTAAAGCGCAAGAACCACAGTTTAACCAAAACCACTCAGCTCTGCTCATATCAGCATTGGACCACTTCAGTAAAACTAAAAGGATTCTTGGTCCCGTTGCACTGCCTAATGCAGTAACTGTTCACCACTGACCACAGCTCAGCATCAGCTCTGGTCTCTGTATGCTGGAACCAATGACCTGAACAGACCTTCTGCTCTAAACTGCCGCTGTGGTAACATTTTCATCAGCAGCACTGTTGGTGCTGGCCGGCGTGCCCGTGGAGGTCCCGTTGACCGGTGTGTGTGGGGTGACTTTTGCCAGTCGGTGCTCCTTGCCGTGGGTGCAGCCGTGGGCACAGAGCTGGCAGGAGGCGCAGGCTGAGTTGCAGCAGGGTAAGAAGCGGCAGATGCTGACGCGCCACAGGAACCAGCCAGGTGACCAGCAGCACCAGCAGAGCACCACACTGCCTGCCACCACACCCAGCAGGATGTAGAGAACCAACAGGGACAGTGAGGCTGGGGAGTCTGAGGATAAGAGGGGCAAAATACAGTTCTCTTTATTCACATGGCACACATACTTGATTTAAGTTATAATACAGGTTATAATACTTTTTCCTCTTGGAACACTCCTTTTACTACTTTTTAGGTTTTTAACTCTTCAGCCTGTACACTGCCACGACAAGTTGTCAGGACCTCCTCTCTGGCTCTTGTCTTACTCTGGCTTCCTCTCTGCTTTGCCTTCCTACTGTCTCATATTTTGTAACATCAATCTAAAAATGTTCAGGCCAGTTCGAAAAGGAATTGTCCTGATGAAACTTTGACAGTTTATATAGTGGACACAGCTTTCAGGTCTGTGAACCCAAGCCAATGTAGAAGTTTCTTAAATCTGCATTCTTTCTAGTGGCCAGCAGGGGGATCTCCATGGGCTTATGGAGAAATGACCCTACTTCTAACTAGATTTATTAGCTCAGTAAACAGTTTCCTAATGAGTTTATGGTCTCAATCTCTAGTTTTAGTCTTCTTCCATACAGCATGATGTTCATTTAGTAAATGATGGTCCCATTTAGAGTAAATTGAGTAAATAAAGCAGAGTACATCTTAGCCAATGAGAGCAGCTCAGCTCACAGTACGTTAACATGACCATAATGCCAAACTCGAGGCTTTGAAGTCAATGCCACTGCTGAAATTTACTTTGGAGGAAATTCAATAGCCGCTGCTATTTCCTTGAAATAGCTTGTTCGCAGTCACTGCCTCGTCCACAGAAGTACTCGCAAGCTGTTTTTTCTGCAGTTTTTTGTCAATTTCTGGCACTCGATAAAAGCTCTACATGGTTTCTCAGGTGATATAGAAAATGTAGAAAATCACGTCCTGCCGTCCATTCAGCAATTCGTGCAACAGGCAGGGGCATTTCCAGACATTTTTGACTGTGGCGGAACAAGTGGGACACTGAATTATGCAGGGGTGGCATGAAGTATGGGTTTCCACTTTCCATTCATTCTCATTTTATGCCATTCCAATACTGTTTATGGACCCCAGTATGCAAAAATATCCAAATACATAAATGGCAAAATTAACATATTTATACCACATGAAAAAAATTGTATGGGATTAGCATAAAGTGGGCATGTCCGTAAAGGGGGACTTCATTCCGATATCTTGAAGTCAGAGGTCAAGGGACTACTTTAAAAATGGCCATGCCATGCCATGCCATATTTTTCCATCGCGTTAGTATTCCATTGGTGTGTAATCTAACTCCCTTCACAACATGCTAGCATGGCACCAATGGGTGAGTTAGATCATTTAGTTTCATATGATACCAGTATGTCCATACTAGCTTTAAAACACCGCCTGCTACAGCCTCTGAAAGACAGTGCCGAGTGGAAGAGGTAAGGATAATGGGGTGGCACTTGGGGTGCACAATCAATATAAGGAGTGGCCAGCACCACCCCAGGACCCCCTCAGTAAATGCCCCAGGCCACAGAAACAGGCCCTTGATGAATTTTGCTGCAAACTGTCACTGTTACAAATCTTGTGTGATGTCTGACTGATAGGTCAAAGTTAAAAGTTAACAAACTCCTCTAGCATATCCAAAGCTGCCTAATCGTCTTGACACTGGTCTTGTACAGTCTCTGTAGAGGCTGGCTGTAACAGTCATTTAAGCTACTCACTGTGCAATAAATTAAGAGTACACATTGATATGCCTGGAGCCTGCTAACTGTTTAGATTTCCAGTGTTTACACTCTTAGAAAATAAGATGAATTCAACCGACGAATCAGTCTGTCTGTGGTCCCTCCGGTGGGCAGGGCACATTGAAATAGATCTCAGCTAATAAACAGCTGGCAATTTGCACAGCAGGCAAATGTGAATCCCCTTCTCCCACTGTCAGCTGAACAGTCAGAACAGAAGAATAGCTGTTTTCTTAGGGCAGACTTGGCCGGCTCTTAAAAGCAATCAAATGCTGACAGGTTGGCCCAGACAGTCTCTGTTTGCACCTCTGACGCTGGAATAGAGACGGATCACTCAAAAGGCCGCTCTCTGCCGTGAGAATCCATCACCATTTATTGGTTTACGAGTCTTTAGGTGAAATTAACAACTCAATGGTCACCTCTATTAGTTTTATGACCAGTCATCAGGACACTTTGCATCCAAATGGGTCCTTAGTTCATTTGCTACCCACTGCAGGATAGAAACATAGTATATTACACACTGATTGATTCCTGCCAGTGGGGACTGTTTCTACCAATTGAAAGAAGAAATATCTATTATGTCCCACTGGTCACTCACCTGTTACTGACTCGTGACTGGGAGCACTGTCCGGCACGCCGCAGTTCATATGTGAAGGCATCGGCACTGTGGGTGGATTCACATAAGGTGGGGGTGGGGTTGCTATTGCCGGTGCAGGTTCAGGAGGTAACAGCTGACCTGCTGATGAAGGACAAATCTGGGTCAACTTTCAAGTGACAGGAAAGACGTGGACATTTTGTTGTACTATAAAGGCATCCCCCTTCAAACTGGTGGCTTCAAGTTTCTACATCACACTGTACAAGTTGATACTGGACCAGGACTGACATCCTAACTATCACAAATCATGCTGGTAGGCCCCGCCCCTTTAAAGCAGATGTTCAATGAGCACAGAGAAACTTTCCACTTTCAGTAGATGAATGTGAAAACATCCTTCTAGAGTCAAACTCTGCACATACAGCATTCACACAGCTCACTGTAGGAACAAGAACACTGATTTTTCACTGTAGGCGGACTTCAATCAGCATCAACTAACCTTTACAACCTGTAGTCAGGTTCTCCTCCAAGTCACTTCCATCCCCACAGTTGTCAATGCCTTTATCATCACACACCAGACTCAGCGGGATACACTTCCCATTCCTGCAGGTGAAATATGGTTCACTGCTGCACTCTGATTGGTTAAAACCTAAAGAGGGAGACAACAATTAGGGAGTGGGGCAAGAGAGGAAGGATCTGAGTCAGCCACTCAAATATTACAGCTGTGGGTGGAGCTTAAGAGTCTCACTGATTGTGATTTAAAGCAAAAAGAAAATACTGCAGCGTATAGAGTCTTCTTGCAAACAACAACAGTTATTTTCGAGTGGTAACAAACATGCTGAATGCATTTCCATCTTCATAAAGCATTTTCCAAGCTGATTTGTTTACACCAATCTTTGCTACTTAGCAGTATTCTTCTTCCCTGCATTTTGCTGGTGCAAAGTTTTTTGTGGAATATGCAAAACCATCAGTGGAATATTGCGCCACTCACAAAACATGCGCTTGGTAAATGGAACAAAAACTCATCAGAACATTTTAAATCTGTGATGCTATAAAGGCTGATTAATGTAAGAGCTGCCTGTTCATCTGAGTGGTAGAATGCATATGGTCCAAGCCAGTGGGTATTTTATACATTTATATATTTCGTTATTTTCAGATTTTAGGAGATCAGGATTATTATACCATATGCATATCTCGTCAAAATGGGTGTAAGACGCTAAGCATCTGTGGAATGGATGGACATGTCTGTGTCCTTCTTACCCAGTCTGAAAGAGGTAAAGTCCCCCACAAAGTCGACTCTGGGCTGAGTCCCCCGGGTCACCAGCCTCAGGGTCAGGTAGTTTCCAGTGGACAGCACTGGTCGGGGTGGGCTCTTCCCGCAAAGAGGCGGCCCAAGGGGAGGTGAGCTCCTGTCCCGTCCATCGTAGAACTGAACATAAGACCCTGCATGACACGGGTCCCCCGAACTTTCACCAGAGGTGGGCTCCAGTCTGGGGTTGAGAGGAGCAGAGCCACGAGGGGACTCGGGGAAGACGGGGGCAGGACTCAAAGGGGCCACTCGTAGCAAACTGTAGACCAGGAAAAAGCGGAAGTGGAACTGGACCTTGTCTTTAGGGGAGCTGGCCTGCATAGTGAGGTGGCAGTCAGTCCCCATGGTCACAAAGTAGTACTTCTTGGATTCCTGGTGCGAGTTGACAATCATGCCGTCACCCCGGATTGTTTGGCCACAGAAGTCCACTACGTTCACTGACAAAGAAAGGACACCAGAGACAGAATCCTCAGAGACAAACTGGTACATGGAGTCAGTCTGTAATGAAATGAAACATCAAAGAGCCTGTTTTCTATCTCTGTAGGGATACGTTCCATAATGTTTTCAGACAACAATCTAACAATCTGAGCCTGTCAGTGGCAACAACAAGAACTTTTAGTAGATGTATGAGGATAACCGTTAGCTTATGTTGCGGTCATTGGATCCCGTTTCAGAAAATATTTTAACATCTAACTCAGTGAATTAAGAGTTTAGCTAATAAAGACGGTTTTATTTTGTTTCTGACTACTTTGAATGAAGTTTCGATATTACGATAATATGGGAGGTAAAATGACTGTTTTTGTCTTTGGAGTCTGGTGGAGAGTGATATTATGGCTGTTTCTGGTTAAACTAAAGGTCTCTCTCTGTAGGGATCCTTTCCATACTGTTTTCAGACTCTGAGATTAACAATCTGAGTCTGTCAGTGGCAACAACAACTGATAGTGGCCTTACTTGGACGGGTTTGTCATTTGTCCCCAAGGATTAACAATAGCTTACATTGCAGCCCATTTTAAGAATATTTATCTACGTCATCTACGTCAGTGAATTATGGGTTTACTGTTGTTAGAACAATTGAAAGACAACAACGATGGTTTTTGGTGAGTATCAAAATGGTTTTTGGCAAGTCAATTTTGCATATATTTTTAGGTTTCAAGGTTATTTAATTGTCAGTTTTAAATGTCAACTGTAACCCTTTAAAGAGGGAAACTCCAGCAATGCTATAGAAGAAGCTGAAAGTTAATACAGTTTGTCTTTAACACACACACATCATGCTAAACCTGGTCTGCCAACTCAGCCATGATGTGATCATCCTGTTGATCGTTTGAGAGGCAGCTCACTGCTCATACACAGGCAGGACCAGGACAGATGGGTGGGCAGATCCGGCTCCAGCAGCCCCCACCCAGCCACCCAGCCACCCCCTGCCTCTGGGCTGCAGGCCAAATAATGAGAAAATTTACGACCACCCCTGGAGTTTATTAGCTCCGTTTCCCTGGGAGACAACTAGATCCTCCCGCACTGACCTCCAGGAATGTCTCAAAGCCTGTGAGCCCCTGTTGGTGGGAAACAGCTCATCCCCTCTGCACCGCATTAGAAAATACAAAGCTTTAGGGGACACTGTCCAAAACACGGGTGACCAGAGGACACTGAGTCCCCAGTAAAGATTTTTGCAGGCTGAAAATTCAACTCTTTTTTAACACTATCATTGTAAATGGAGTCCATTTCAGAGCGCAAAAGCAGGGGGCAGGTGAGGGCCAAGGTCCTTGGTGACACACTGTAGTGAGAAATGTTTTCGAGACAGCATTGTGTGGAAAGGGCAGCAGCCTCACTGTCCACCCATGTGTTGTCCTAACACTAGTGACTCAACACAAGCTTCCATTATATGACTTCAAACTGACCAGTCCTGCTGCATGCCAAACAAGGTATGTAAACAGAACACTGAATAAACATGAATAAACTGGTCTGATGGGGCTGCAGCAGGGGTGGGTCACATGGAAATGTATTACATTATATGCAATTTTATATCACAATATCAATATGTATCATGATATGAATGTTTTAGATAAATTGGAGACATATAGACAAAATAATTAAACATTTGCTGAACGTCATCACATGAATTCAACAGCTCTAACATAAAACAGTACTGCTCACTGATTTGCAGCATTGTCCACAATGGTCTCATACAAGCTAGATACTAAAGAGAGAGCTAACTCAACATAAAAACTACAGAAACTGGATTGTTGACACATTTCTACAATCTCGCTGATACCCAACCTCACTATTTTAGGCTATAGCCATAGCAGTATAATAATAATAATAATAATAATAATAATAATAATAATAAGTTTGCTTTCATTAAGAAAAATGAATAAACATAGAGTTACAAATCACTGAGACTTTACTGCTGTATTTTGTCTGCTGTCCCAGGAGTTCTATGAATTTCCTAATCATATGGAACTTGCATGAGTGGCATGGTCCGCCACGGTGAACACTAAGCCTGGATTAATTTTTATTGACTAATGTGGTGAAGACTTTTTTCAGTTTTTAAACTGCATTATGACAAAACAATGATGTAACCTGGTATTTAATATGATTGATTATACAACTGAAGGAAGTTTGAGTCAGCTGTACCATACAGAAAACAATGGAAACCAATGGCTGCATAGAACTACAGAAACATACACTGAAAAACCTGTAAAAGAACATTCAAAATGGTCATCAAAAGTGTGAAGTATAGTGAACACAATGGTATGGCCCTTTAAACTTTAACAAGAGTAGAGTAGCGTATCATTACAGAATACTGTGTATGATGTGTAGAAAAAAACTGCTGTTTAAATGTATATTTTTCATAATGTTTATGAAGCATTTTATGGGTCCAAGCACCACTTTTGTTTATGTCCAACAACTGTGGACTCAATGCTGAGATATGTAAAATGAGATATTTCAATTACTTTACATTATTTCAAAAGAAATTGTTTCATTTAAATATTACTTCATACTATATTAAAATTATCATTTTAATTTACTCCAGTTATATGATTTTTCATATATATTTGCCTGTTCTTCACTTCTGAGTTCTTACCATCCACACAATAATAACAAAATGCAATATATATATATATATATATATATATTATATTTTATATGAAGATAGAAGTTAGCAAGAGAGCACATGGATGACAGGTTGGGCCACCTTACACCAGGTGACCCTCTTAGAAAAAGCCTAGAAAAACTAGGTCAAGATCATCTGAAGTGTTTATTGTGTGTCCTTACCATACAGATTAGTTATTGTGAATTTTGAGCTACATTTTGAAAATAAATTAACATTACTGCAGCTTTAGTTGTAAATACCTTGTGTCGCTGTAGAAACAAATTCAAGGCAAGTTATATATAAAAAAAAAAAAATAAACATGTTGAGGATTAAAATCTGAATGACTGCTGTATATACAATTGTGTGTACCTGTTTATATGTATGACACTGATGGTTAAAATTTAAATTCATAGAGGGTCAAAAATGGCTGTATTTGCAGAACTGTCTTACTGGCAGTATGTTCTCTCTGACCGAAGAACTCTCACTGTGACAGATTTAGGGCTTATACTTTACAATAAAGGCACAATTCTTATACTTTTCTTAACTAACGCATGACTGATAATGAATGCATGGATTAATGCAGGATGTTGCTCACCACTAACAAATTATCCAGTCACTATGACTTTATGGAATTAGTTCACATTTAATAGATTACTACAGAAGCTGATTGGGGCCACAATAGAAAATAAAAATTTAGTTCTGACTTGAAAGTCAGAATTCTGAATTCTATTTTTTTAAGTTTTCACATGTGGCCTTAATCCTGTTCCGTAATTATCAGTTAAGGAATGTTATTGCACTTCATACAATAATTCATATGCAACCAATTAGGTTGATTCCTCTTACATAAAATATTTTTTTCAGGACCTTGCATTTCTGCACCTCTGATTTAAAAAAAAAAAAAAAGTTTCATATTTCTATGAGAACAGATTATATTGACACATTTACAACATAGAGGAGCTTTAAAAAAAAAAATTGTGTTTGTGTTTATAGCTTAAACATATATAGATAGTGTAAATGGTGTATCCGCTGGCTAAACACTTACCGGTCTCGATGGCCGAGCAGTGCAGAGTCAAGAAGCAGAGCAGGAGGAGCAGCCTGAGCACCACCTCCAACTCCATCATTATCCTGGCTGAGAGAGTCCGCAGCAGTCAGCTTACACACTCATTCTAACTCCAACTGATGTGCTCGCAGAGGAAGAGGAGAAAGCTTCAGCATGTGTGCGGCGTGTGATAGAAAGCTTTGAGTTGGGGCCAGCTGCCACTCTGCTCTCCATCATAAACACTCTCTGGCTTTTATTCCAGTTGAACCTCCTCTTGGGGTCCCGTCCTGTCATCTCCATGGAAACACACAACCAATCAGCTGTCAACAAGCAAGCAAGGAAAAAAGCTCCTGCTTGAAACAAAACCTGATGTAAACTTCCACAGACTTTCAGTATTTTTGACCATGTTACAGGTTCAAAGATGTGAAATGATAGTGAAACTACACTGTACAAATTCATACAGGAATCTAGTGGAATCATATCCTGACAGTAGTACATAACATAAATAATCTGTGATAAATAAGACCTGCTCATAATCTGGCTCCTCCTAGTGCTCCTAATGGTATTTGCAAGAATCCACCGGGCCTGAATGAAATCAACCAATCAGAGCTGCCATAAAGTTGATCATTCTGTCTGAGTTTATCACAAACTGTCCGATGAAGAAATATATTTGTTGTTGCATATATCTACAAAATCATTGACAAAAAACAGCTGGTCTGTACACTGTACATTACACAGGTTTTCCATTAGATAAGATAGATAGAGAGCTAGTAGTGAGGGGCAGGCAAAGGTAGAGTTATTCGAGTACTCGATTTGGACGTCAGTATTCGTTCAATGTAACGTTATAGACAGATAGCGGTCAAACTGCTCCACAGTCTGCATGGAATATGAGTGAGACTGGACGCTATCAGCTGGAGTTCATGGATCAAACTATAATATCCTTGCTTTGTTTATTTCGTGTACACGTCTGTGTCCGACAAAACAGTGATACCCAGAAGTTTCCTCCGGTTTGTTTGTTTGGTTGAGTGGCATAGACAATGAATGAGAAGAGGGAGCACTGGTAGCAGCAGAAAGTGAATGAGAGAAATAAACGTTATTTTCTGACTGTTTCACAGCAATTCTTTTCAGCAAAAATAAACACAGCCACACACCCTGAGCTACTCAACATCTGATTCAGTCTGAATAAAGAGTGTTAGTGTGACAGTGGTAGCCAAACAACCTTATCTGAAGCTCAGTGCTGACCTGTTCAGGAGAAATGAGCCAACTTGACATCAGTCTTGAAATCCTTTCTGGTACGAAGCTGTCTCCATATTCAAACATGTACCCATGCTTTACCATGTCTCTGCTCGTTGAGCTCTTTAGACAGATGCAGAGGCTGTTCAGTTCAGGCAAACTCCAGCGTTATCTCTGATGATGATCCTCTGATTGCTGCCATGGATGCTGCTCGCTGTGTTCACACGGAGATTAGGTCCATACCTGGCAACCCAATGTGTCCAAACAGGGGCAATCACACAGGCCAAAACAACAGAAAATCTGCATCGGAATGTGAACTTAAAATGAGAATATACAGTCTGTAACACTGTTGTCGGAGACACTATTTCAATTTTACCAGTTTCTGAAGACATATCATTGTATATAAATATCATTTTTTTTATGTCTAAAAATGTCAAGACTTTGAGACAGGACATTGATACTATATTCATAAATGCATATTTAAATGAATATGGCTGAATTAACCCCTGATCCACCCACTTTCTCTGTATTGGATACAGGTTTCAGGCGATGAGACACTAGCTGGTTCCAGATCTGCTGTGTGGTGATTTAACACATTAATGCCACTAGGAATGTAAAGATATATTGGAAATTGTGATAAAATTACACTGATCAGCCATAACATTGTGAGCACCTGGGCACCCTGGTGGTCCTAATGTTCTGCAGCTCCATACCAACAGACTGCTCTGCACTGTGTGTTCTGACCCCTTTCTATCAGAACCAGCATGAACTGTTTCAGCAGTTTGAGCTACAGTAGCTCGTCTGTTGGATCGGACCACACGGGCCAGCCTTCACTCCACACGTACATCAATGAGCCTTAGCCCCCCATGACCCTGTCTCCAGTTCACCGCTTTAGACCACTTTTGTTAGGTACTGACCTCTGCAGACCGGGAACACCCCACGAGAGCTGCAGATTTGGAGATGCTCTGACCCAGTCGTCTAACCATCACAATGTGGCCCTTGTCAAAGTCGCTCAAATCCTCACGCTGCACATTTTTCCTGCTTCTGACATCAACTTTGAGGACAAAATGTTCACTTGCTGCCTGATATATCCCACCCACTGAGAGGAGCCATGATAACCAGATAATCAGTGATATTCACTTCACCTGTCAGTGCTCATAATGTTATGGCTCATCGGTGTATGTGAAGAATCAAATTGATGAGATGAAAAATTAAATGGGAAATTGTCTAATCTAACAGTGGCCAAGCACCAGTGACAAGAGAACACTGAATTTGTCAGAAAAGGAAATAATCTGCTCAGAATTCATCCAAATCACTGTTTTTACACAAACTTCTTGCAGTTACTGAGTTCACTATTTAGGTCCATAGTACAGTTAAAATATAATAAGAAATATCCATAAAATATATGTTACTTAGTCAGGGGTCGTCAGTTTATTAGATGATAGAAAAGGGGACCCATAAGGGAGAAGGCTGGGAGCCACTGGTCTACATCACTCCCATCAGTAGCTGCATATATAATTCTTCATGCTCCTGTAACGCTGAGCTCTACTCCCAAGCCCTGTTAGCTGCTTCCCTCTTGTGGCAAAAAATATAAGTGCAACTGTCATCTGCTGTTCTTATGCTGCTTTCATCAAGTCATCCACTTCAAGTCCACACATTACTTAGTGTAGTCATGGGGGAACACATGTAAGACACATACAAATCCAAGTTTTGGGGGGCAAGGGGCCATTGCTGCAGCATTTCTATTCACCCTGTCTGACACACTCTTTAAGCTCTCTTTTTTGATCATATTGAAAGTATAACTCAAGATGGTCAATCTCAACGTTCAGTCTTATTACCCAAATTATTTTTTAGATGTTAATATAATAAATGGTAAATGGACCTGTACTGTATAGTGCCTTTCTATCTTCCACCACTCAAAGTTTACACTACGTGCCACATTCACCCTTTCACACACATTCACCAGTGATGGCAAAGTCCACGAAAAAAAAAACATTCTTATACATTCACACACTGATGCACGGCATCAGGAGCATGGGTTCAGTATCTTGCCAAGGATACTGACATGTGGCACCAGGAGCCGGGTCGAACCCACAACCTTCCGATTGAGAACGACCTGCTCTGCCTCTGAGCCACACCCCCAATAACCCCCACCTAAAGGTGCTCAGTGTTCTCATGCTATTGGCATTGATGCTATATCGCTACATTTAATCCATTTGCTGTAAAGATGATACAAATTCCTGTCCTGTTCGAACATATAACACGATATTATACATGTACTGGGGAGCACTGGACTGTCACGTAGCCTAGAGGTGATGCCTGTTACAGTGTGAGGTCAGGCAGTGCAGGAGCAGTGTTTTCTGTGGGAGAATGTACCTTTGGTGTGGACTGTGGAAAACTGGCAACGCAGGCTGGTTTGCTAGATCAGCTCTTTGGTTGTTTGAACGTTTCTAATGCAGGACGAAGCTGTTTATCAGAGTGAAGGCTCTATGAATATAGCTTGTGTTCAGGTCTTCAAAGGCTACATCTTAGATAATTTCTTTAAAACTTTCAAAATAACAATTTCATTTAGTTTTCATCATAGAAGTGAACCAAACGCTGAGATATAGGCCTACTGTGTATATTTTTTTACGTTTTCTTACACCTTACACATGAAGAAGGCCTGGCGACCCCCATGAAGCTTTGTTGACCCCTCATGGGGTTCCCAACCCCCAGGTTGGGAACCACTGCTCTAGACAACTTTGCAAGTTTTCAGTTTAGGAGAAAAACAGACAGTGTTTATGGTTTTTTTTTTTAATCTTAAAAAAGTTTTTAAAACAAACAAAATCATTAATCATTTAAAAGATATCGATCAGTTAGAAGCAAATCATTTTCAAAAGTCTATTTACAAAATATAATTACAGATAGGATTAGTGCCGGTGTAACCATGTGGTGTCCAGTGTTGGTGGCAAACTGTGTCACTACTTCTTGCTCAATATTAAAAACAGACACACAGCAAATAAAAAGGGCATGAAAAGAGAATAAGAAGGAGCCAAAAGAAGGCAGCAGTAGCTTCAGGGTCAGTTGTTCAATGCAAAAAAACCCAGCAAGGTTAATTTTTCTCTCAAATGGAGGAATCCGCCTTGGAAGCAGGCAGCAGATTACTGCTGGTGTTTTGTTTGGTTAGTACTTCTGTAGCTTGTTTGCATCTGTAGTGACTGAAAGAACTGGCTTATTGCTGTAAAGCCACAAAAGAAAAGAGAGGAGCCACTTTCGAGTATATTTTACATTATATAGGATGTTGGTTAAGGCAGGTCATCATTTACATACACATACACATAGACACATACACGTAGACCCATGTGAACCTGTGTATCACAGGTTCACATGGGTCTGCAACACTGTTTGTGCCACTTTAACTTGAAGTAATAATCCTTATTCTGTAGAAGTTGTTGAAAAGCATTCTGGGAAATAAAATTTCTAACTAAAGTAGACCGAGGTTGAGGGAACTGTGAACATTGAGGGACACTTTTACTCTTACTACTACTCTTCTTACTTTGTATTTCATAGGATCACATCACATGACAGCGGTGTTGTCACTGTCCTCTCATCTGCTCCTGGAAGCAGGCTCAACAGCTGCTGCCAGATTCAGCAGATAGCACCAAACAGCAACCTCCAGGACTGCAAATGAAGCAAATATGGAAGTGCCAAAATCTGCAGTTCCTCTGACGCCCACTTGAGGCCGCCTCCAGCAGTGAGTCAATTTCCATAAGCAGAAATGAACATGTCTACAGCCTGGTACAAAAAACTATTTTGGTCTCTATAGCTAACCTTCCCGTTCATGACAACTGTACAGAGGGTGCATTTAAGCTCAGGCTTAAAAGCTACAGAAGTTTCATTAATGCCTGTGTACTGTGTTTATTCACTGCTGAATAACACTGGCACTGGTGTTGCTCCAGCTACCAGGAGCTAACGGCTAAATTTGGTAGATGTCAGAGGGTACATGACTGGCTGAAAGGTGAAGGGGAAGTGACCATTGACAATGCTACTGTCATGGAAAGTGATATCATGAAATAAAAGCTGAATTTTGAAGAAGGTTACGGTCTATCATGAAATAAAAAATATACACATATCCAAAAAATAATAGCCAATAAAATTATTATAATGACAAGTTCAATTTCAATAACTTCAATTTCACAAATTGTTTGTTCATGTATATCATTTACACAATTTATTCATCTGATTATTTCTTTCATGATGTCTTTTTTGTTTGTTTATTGATGGCTTCACTGACTTCATTTTCTTTGTCCAAACTGTTGCAGTGCAGCACAATCAGCTTTATATAGTGAGCACTATTGGTCAGTGTGGTGATGTCTTCATTTATAAATCACGCTTCCTACACGCAAACACAAACCAAAGGGCAGAAAGTAGGGCTGGAGCAATGTGTTCTGCTGACAACTAGGAATGCCCCAATCATGTTTTGTTTTTGCCGCTGATATGAGCCTTATTGGCCGATGTGGATGGTGTTTTTGTTTTGTTATAGCAGCTGGTATAGCAGTAGCACTGCTTTGTAGTGTATTGGGATCTCCACCATGTGGCACAGTGACCTGCTGAGCTCTCAGCCGCACGCAGGAGAGGCCGTCAAGATTATTGTTTTTTTAAATAATTTTTCCCGTTGTTTCATATAAATTGAAACTACCTCCTCATATACGATTAAAAGTAAAACACAATTGTGTTTCTAAAAATGTATTTTGTTTGCAAAATAAAGGCAAAGGTCAAAGGTTCCCACAAACACGCGGCTGATAAGTGAGCAGGTTTGACACCTTCATTTGTTGTTTGGCATTTGTGAACAACTATATAAAAATGCTGTTTGCATTTTTTGTTAACTATGAGGTTAGTAATGCAAATAATGGAGTACTGGAGAGTGTTTAAATGGGGTTTTTATGCTGTTTCCATTTCAAAAATGGAAGCAGTGAGACAGAGTAAAGCGTGCAGTCATACCCAAGCGCCACCCCTCACCTAAACCTAATGGCATATTTCCAACAGGTGAGAACAAGTCTGACAGACAATCTCTGGTTGTGTGCTACATGTGTAAAAGGCATAGACTGTAACTCACATAAGACATATGAAACAGCTCCACTTAGCTGACAATTGGATCAAACCGATCGGTTTAAGTGTTTTAAAGAGTTCGGTCTAGACCTGCTCTATTTGAAAAGTGTCCTGAGATAACTTCTGTTATGAATTGGCGCTATACAAATAAAATTGAATTGAATTGAATTGAAAATTGAATTTAAGTAAAAAAAACAAAAAAAACTAACAACTGCAAATCAAGTTTTTTGCATTTGTGATAACCGATGCAAAAAACGCAACAAACCTGATCGAGCAATAATATTCAGAGCACGTTTTTGCTGAATATCAGCCGGCTGATTGATCTGGGCATCCCTACTGTCAATGATTTGAAATACTTTATATCAAGCACTCAGAGCAACCCATACCTGATGATGTAGCACTATTACTAATCAGTAATACTGTTACCGTTCATATTTTGGTATAAGCTGGTGTCTTGTGGTCTAAAATGCTGTTTCAAAGGCTTTCCCCTTCAATAAAAACATAAGAAATAGAAATCTGATGGAAGCTCGGAAGTGTCCAGCAGCAAGCTCAAACTCAGGATGTGTAACTTTATTGTTTTATCGCTTTAATTTCTGGATTTACCTAGCTTATCGTATTTGATCCTGAGCTGAATGTCTGCGGGGCAATGTGTGCACCTCGTATTCTGTGCTCTGGCTGAGTGTTTGGCCAGAAGACAACGTGAATGAAGCGGATCCACCTGAAAACAATATTATCACTGGCCTCCTCAGGGTGAAGTGTGGGTGGTAGTGCTTGGTGGCAGCTGCTTTGAGAAACTGCTTTTCATTCCCGTTCTGCAAGTTTATAACACCGCAGTCTTCAACCCAGTGCACCTGTTAAATACTGAAGTACCATATGCATTGTGAGAGGCTTTGTGCTTGATCTAATGAATCCCGTTGATGATGTGATTGTGCAGCAGCTCCGGTTCGTGGTTGTGCAGTGTGGGGTTCATCTCCTCGTCTCTCAGCCGAGCGTTCTTCCTGATCTCCTCCAGGGAGTAGTCCTTCACCAGGCTGCCGTTCTCAAAAACGGTCACAAGCAGGTCCTGAAGAATGCAGGGGGCACACAGATGATTCATTAAGTACAGGAGGATAACAATGAGATCTGCGCTATCAACATCCAGCTTGGTGCTTAAATGCAGTCAAGTGAATGGACAGTGTTTTTATGTGAAGATGAAACCATATTATCATCACTTGTTGCTGCTGTTAATATTCCTCCAGACGTAATTCAAAAGATGATCCATAGAACTTTTTCCTGGGCGTATACTTGTGTATGTATATAAATAACTATATGTACTGCTTTATTGTATGTTATTCTAATATATCTGTTAAATCTGAGAAAGTGTGAGTCCAGTGACATCACCTGAGTGTCTAGGCTTGAGACCACAGATTTCATTACAAACTGGGGGCATGGGTCTTTACCAGGCATGGACGGTCTCCTGAAAGATGCTATCTGGTTGCATTATGGGATATGTAGAATTCAGCATTATTAGCTTGATTCCTAACTAAAAGTCAAAAAGTCACAGTCATTTTTCTTTTTTGAACATATGTCTCTTGAGATCAATAGAATACATAGAATAGAAACCTAGAAATACATTCAAAAAGAAGTAATGTCATCAAGAGGATGGGGTGTCCAGGTAGCCTGCTGGTTAAGATACATACCACCCAATCTCAACGTCCCCAGATTGATTCCAGCCATAAACCTTTGCCATGTGTCATATCCAGCTCTCCTCCATGTTTCCTGTCTCTCTCTACACTTCCTCTTTTGCATGATTTTGTTCTCCTAGCTGTGTGCATTACACAATACTGCAGTTAGCAAACATGGACAACGTGCCCTCACCTTTCTGTTAGAAAAGAAAACTGCATCTTTTTTTGTTATTCCTCTATCAAACAAATGATATAAAACTATACTATGTGTTTAAAACAGTGATAATCCACATTTAATATCAGTGAGAGTTAACAAGGAAATGCTGGGACTAACCTCCTCAGGCTTGCCTGCCCCTCTCTCTACTGTCTCTAAGAAGCCATCAGAGTTCCTCCTCAATGATAATCGACCCTTCTTTGACCCCTTGGATGGGTCGGTCACCGGCTGCTTGTACACGTCCATCTGGAAGAACACATACAAGCAAAAGGTCAAAGTTAAATCAGGAGGTAGTCTACTTCCTTAAAGGCAAATTGAGTTGGATTTGTCGGTTCCTGTTGGTAAACACATGATTCAAACTTGGCCCCTCCTCCCCGTCTCAAGCTTCACTGTCAACAGGAAAACTTTTGTACCATGTTTTGATGTACAGGTATTCACTTTCTTACATTCTGCATTTTGGCCCAAGTGCTGGTCTGACTAGCAGTGCCTGGTTTTTTTTTGTGATCAGTGCCTGTTTTGAATATTTCGTCATTTGTTCATCCAAACATTGTACATGCCTGCAGCATTTTCCCAAGCACGACTCATGACTGTTCTTTGGCAGAGCTTGATTAGATTAATTCCAGTATCAGGTTCAATTTCACACAATTATAACAAACCACATTTCATGAAAATCGGTTGAGAATGAACCCAGTTACAGTCTCTCAGTATTGTTAACTAGCGGACCTTGACCTCCCCAATATGGCGACTTTACAGACGCACGTCGCATCAAGAACAAAGTATCTATGTTTCTCGTCCAGAGACCCTCATACAGTGCGTGCTAGCCAAAGGTTGATGCCCAGAAACATTCCGAACACAGCAAACGGATAAGAAAATAAGAAAACACAGGCAGAGGACAGGGTCTCTGCAGATACAGACGCCACCACACGACAATTGTATATGTGTCTATGGATTGTTTTTAAGACAATCCCACTCAGTGTGCCTTTTAGTCTAACACAAGACCAAATCTCAAATCAACCACAAGTCTGTAAAAGTGCACCTTTATCTGAATGAACCTAAGTGCATCCAACATTAACAAACAATTCTACAACTGCACTAAAAGAACCATGTTAACTGCATGAAAGGTAAAGTTCACATGTTTTCAAGCCTGTCTTAAACAACACTTACATGCAGATATGAACATAGAAACAGTGTTCCTCCTGTTCACGAATGATGCTTAAAACTTTGAACGCAGGACACAGGTTAAAGGGGAAGTAGCAACCTTTATTTAGTCTATGGGTTTTTGTTAATCAGAAAGGTATTAATAAACAATCAGTTGATAATCAGTTAAGTCAGCAAATGTAATGTGAAGATCTCTTAAGCAAGCCAGAAGCTTCCACTCACCCCCTTGCCGTTACTCTCCACATAGCTGCACTTGAAGGCACAGCTGAGTGTATCTCTGTTGAGTTTCTGTAGCAAAGCGCTGCCACAACCAAAGAAGACGTTCTCAGCACTCCAGCCTTCATCACTCAGCTTCTCAAGAATCTACAGAAAACATGGAAAGGAAGGTTTCAAACACACCATAACAGACCTCAACATGATTTATATTTTATGTTAAAGCCGGGTAGTAAGCTTTGCTTCCTGTCAGCTCAAGGATAGGAGCTTTAGTGAATGTGTGCCAGAGCTCTAGTGCTGGCAGAAGGAACAAATATGCCGTGCATTTAAGAGCATTTTTCAGGAAAACTAAACTTACACATATTTTGAGTGTAAATCTGTCTTTTTTACATGATAAGGTTGACAAGCCTTGATTTTAATAACTGCTTTGACCATGACAAGAACACTTGTTAATAGATGGATATGTTGGCTTTTAACAGAGCACAAAGCATAAACAATGTGGGCTATTTAATGCATCTTAAAAAAGGGAAATACAACCTTGCTCTTGTTGTTGTAGTTTGGTCCATCATTCCTATGAGTTTAACTTTAACTATGAACTCCTGTTCTGAGATCTGGAAATTTGGTGACTCGTCACTAGTCCACATAAGTTCACAGTTCAACTGAATTCTCTGTGACATTTATTTAGAAATGAAATCAAACTTCAATGCACTGTAAAGCTGTGGTTACCAGTGTCGTAACTGCCCAATCTTAGCAATGAAACGTGACTAAAAAGTCATTATAAACAACAGGGATGCCAAGAGTACAGAAATAGGACTCAGGTTGTTTACAGCCCCTTTGTCAAGACACTTTTCTGGTGGTACACATTTTTTTGGTGAAAATTAGTCTATGTGTTGCCTGCTGTGCTGTGTCTTTTTTGATATTACCACTGAAACTTGTAGACACAAAATAGGCTTCAATTTCTCATTTCTGTTTGGTCAATCAGTGTCCAGAATGAACTTTTTACTCACCAGCCAAGGGGACTGATACATTTCTTTTTTAATCCACCAGTAAAGCACATTGCCTTATACAAATAAATAAACTTTTTGTGTCACATGTTAATTTGTTTCAGTACATTTCATTGAAATAACACAGCAAACGAAGACTACTCTCGAATCAGGGTTTTTGGGGCCTATCACTGATCACTGTGAGTAGTATTGCCCGTTATCCATCACAGTCGTGTTGAAGCCATCTGTTATCACATAGCCTTATTTATTTGACTTTTTCTAACAACGTATAGCCTTCCGGGATTTACTCACCAAACTTATTCTAATTCTGAAAATCTACCCGCATTTGATGCTTGGCGGACGTTAATTTCAGACCCTGATAAGAACGAATAATAGAACTGTTGTAGTAGTGTGAAAAAAGTAGCTGACTAATGCTAATAATGATCAGAACAGAAAGCTGAATTTGCAACAGGAGGGAAAACTAAAATATAATAAACTAAATAAAATGTATACACAAGATTAACCCAGAATAGTACAACAACCAACCCTTTCCTCACCTCTTCCACTGAGTGGAGGTCAATGCCGTCTCCTTGAATGATTCGTAGGTAAGAAGGCAGGACCTTGTATCCCACAGAGTTGAGGGAAGAGCCAAAACACTCCTCCAAGATCTTGATGACCTACAAGATGCATTTCTGTCATTTTATTTTGCAGTTTGATTCATACATGTGAGGGATCAGCCATGATAGGTTGGAGCAGAGAACAACCTCAGTTAATCTACAATGAATCATTTAGTAGTTGGAATCAATATAAAGGAGAAAGTTCAAAAACCCTAGTTATAACAATGTAATAACAGAGGAGTTTCTTTGACTAATAGTCCAAGATATGACTACTATAATTACTGATCATGACTAATTCATCAACTTAAATGATTACAGCCATGCATGGTGGTGATGTACAAACATTTAAAAAGGCACATGAGAGACAAAACTTCATGCGTAAGCACAATAACTCCCACTTGGTCCAAAACTTCCTTATCAGATTAAAAAGCCTGTTCCAGTTCTTCTGAATAACAGACTTCGACAGGTTCAGACACTTTCTTTACACAAGAACAACCTGCCATTCATATTCACTGCTTCCTGACTGCTGAAGTTAGATGTGAAAAGACAAAAATGTTGAAAAACAGCAGACAAAACAAATAGTAACTTTATCTTTTAAAGAACTGCTCTTAACTCTTGAACCTTGTTGTTTCCTACACCATGCTCTCCTGAATGTGCCAACTCATCCAGTCTGTTAGCAAAGGATTATAAATTTGAGAGTATCATTGTATCACCTCAAGAACACCAGCCCTTCTACCACATAGGTGTGGAAACTGGATTGGTTGGGTTTGAGGTTTTCTTGCATCATAAATTGGATACTTAGAAGTCCCATTCGTTCATATTATAATGGGTATCAGACATCCTCTTCCATGACAGCTCGGCTTGCAGGCCCTCCGGGACGTCCTTTGTCTGCCCAACAGCGTGGGAGAAACAGTGATTTTTAAGGGGGAACTGCTTTATTCAGTGTTTTTAGCGGTTTTAATCAGCGTGTCTGTTTGTTTTGAAGAGGAGGAGACCTGCTGTCATTTCAGTTCCCGGTAAAAACCTCTGGAACGTCTGGATCTTAAGTTATCAGAGAAACAACCTGAGCTAACGTCATTAGTGGCAGATATGACATATTGTATGTTAAAACAGCAATATAGCAAAACAATTAGAACAGATTAGAATCATTTGAAAAATATAAAAGTGGTAAAAGTAAGAATTCACAGCAGAAATCACTAAAATTTTGTGATTTAAAATTCGTTTAGATATTTGTTTTTTTTTTTTTGTCCAATACAGACTACCCCAGTCCTGTTATTTACCTCAATAAGAGTCTCTGCAGGGTCTCCGGAATCCGGCCGGATGACCAGACATGAGTCCTGGCTGCGCTCCATGACTCGCTCCTTCAGCTTGTCTCCCCAGATGTGTTTGCAGGCATTAAAGATGTCGTAGCTGTCACTGACAACTGACACCGGCCCTGAGGAGAACTGGTCCAAGACTCGCTCAAATGCCTCCTTCTCCTTGCTTCTCCCCCAGGAGATGATGGTACTGGATGACAGCAAGGAAGTAATGAGCTCTTGTGGTGCTAGAGCTATTAACACTAGTTCTGATATCAGTATTAATATTAATAATAACTTGATTTCTATATCACCTTAACAAACACAATTATAAAGTGCTTTACAATAAAAAATAAAATGAAAGCAATGCGCTTCAGATCTTAAGGTATAAACAAGATATAATAATTCAATAGATACAGAATATAAATAAATAATAAAACTCCTGATGGTGTCACAGTTTCCTCACAATTGACAACTCAACTGGGCTGATTAGTGACATTTATTCTATATTAAAAGTCAAAATAATTGAAGGTTTCTCTTTTTATTTATGACTGCCACAGACTACATTCATTGATGTTGTCCTATGTGTTGTACCTGTGCTCTGCTGCTGGAATGGAGAAGCCAGCCATGGGGCAGCCATAGTATCGCTGAGCCATCAGCAGCCCAGCTACCGTGTCCGTACTGCAGAAGTTAACCAGGTGAGCGGCTCCACCTAACGCTGCAGACTGGAGAGCAGAGGCAGAAATGATATATCACTTTGCTGCTTCAAGTAGTTTATCTTGATTTCTGTGGATTTTCAGTGAGGCTATTAACATTCTGAATATGACAACTGAACTTAGTGTGGACAACAGGTTGTTACATTACAGTGCTAAGAAACTGTAGCGGTCCTATTATCTGACTCTGCCAGACTGGAGCTCCCAGTGAACAGCACAGCCAGACCGGGACCAAATAAAGCATCCGATGCCAACGAAGGACAGTTTGACGACAGAGAATACAGAACCGAGGTGTGGTTTTTATGATGGGTTTGGCTGAGTCAGCTAATGTTAGCTACACAATCTAACTAGCTAACAGCAGCTAACATTACCGTTAGCTGCTTTTTAATGGTAAATGGACTGTACTTATATAGCGCCTTTCTAGTCTTTCGACCACTCAATGCGCTGTACACTACATGCCACACTCACCCCTATTTATACACATTCATACACTGATGGCAGTGGCTGCCATGCAAGATGCCACCTGGTCACCACAATGGAAACTAATCATTCACACACTCATACACCGATGCACAGCATCTCTTGCTCAAGGACACTTCAACATGCAGCGAGAGGATCAAACCACCAACCTTCCGATTAGTGGTTGACCCGCTCTACCTCTGAGCCACAGCCTCCCACCGTTTAGCAACAAGTCCATCAGGAAACTTCACCTCGGTACCGCTGTTGCCAAACTGGCCTCTGTCTGTCTTGGTCCCAGGTCTGGCCATTTTGACTGGGAGGCTGCTGAGCGGTTATACACTGACGGTAGCTACATCAGCAGAGCAGCTGGAGGATGTCAGACAACCTGACAATATTTTCTCCATAAAATATGATCCAGTTTCACCCAAATCACTGACAAAGTTGTGTTTTTGTAGTCATCAGTGAGGTCCAGCCCCCAGAAACACAGAAAGCCATGTTGCTGTTAATTAGCTAACTAATCTTAGCTCCGTGTCGCTAAAAGTTGAAGATTGATTGACGGGTGGATCCTATTATTGGTTAAAATTGGTTAGTAGCAATTTGTTTTACAGGAAGAAAAATGATTGGATTTCGATATAATAATACATAGAAATACATTTTTTGTATATTATAATATGTTGTTAAATAGGGGTACAATGTGACTGGGGATGTGATCTTAAAGGGTTAAAAAAGGTTTTTCAAAAATGTTTCATTTAATCTGGACTTCTGAACACCTCTACTATACAGACACACACAGACATTAGATTATCACTGCATTGACACTAGTCTGCCTTCAATGAGACCTGTGAGAACTGTCTTTTTGAATCTTCTTACAGTCAAACATTTTCACCAGCGGCCCAAGAGATTGAATTTACATTCCAGCTTTATGTTTATGTTTTTTTTAACATCCACATGACACAGCCATATGCACAAAGTAGATATCACACTAAAAAGGACAGAAATGTCTTCTTACCTCCTGTGAGGAGACTCCTCTGTAACCAAAGTCATGCAGTTTTAGGTCCAGGCCTTCCAGGCTCCCTGAGGTGGCCTTCAGGTGCTTGGCCAGGATCTTCTTAAACTCCCTGGATATGGTAGCTACCGTTATGGGATACCACATCTGGACTAGCATGGTCTGCAGCCAGTAGAAGGGGCAGGGGTGATGGTTAAAAATAGGATGGGTGTGGGGAGAAAAGAGATCAGATAGTAAGAGATCACTTGGTGGGAAAAAGGGGGGCAAGGACAGTTGTTGAAAGACAGTGCTGCAAAGTTGAGGTCACCTGAAGGAGTAAGTTGAGTGGCTGGGAGGACGCAGGGATAGACTGCCACTGCCATAAAAACTCTGTTCAGACTCTTTCAAATGCACGAGTCCCTACTTCTTTGAGTGAGTAGATTATTGCTGCTGCTGTGTAATTCACACCCCCTGAGGTACAATGCATGTTCATGTTTCTTCCAATCTGGTCATCCAGAATTCACAGAACCGTATAGCCATTTATAGCCAGTTCCAGAAACTCTGGAATCACAGACACTAAATCGGAAATGAAAAAGTAGCTTTTGAGCATTTCTGTTTGCATTTCCACCTAAAGATTAGGTAAATTTGACCAATGGTACCAGAAAACAACAACAGCAACCCTGTTGTCTTTTGGGTACTGCTGTGTGACTCTGATGTTTGAGTGGATGTAATGACTGGGTACAAAGGAGACATGCAGAGGTGGAAAACAGACTCCAGAGCAGATGATGTGCTAAGTGTGTGATGGTTATTTACGTCTGCTTTACAATGAAACTGCAGTGAAACAATCAGCAAGCAAAGTTTGTTTCTCTTCTCCAGTGGAATTGTTCTCTCATTGCTGCTCTCATTTGCTCATGCTCTCAGCTCAGTTGCACTCTTTCTTTACCTTGCTCTCTTTTAAACCAGTTTTAACCACCGGCTGAAAACAGAACTTTGTTTTTAATGTAGTAAACATCTACAAATGTCTGTCACTGTTGCGTCTTCCTCACTGTTATACTAGTGGCACTGTTGCTTTAAAAAATAATCATTTTTGGCCTTTTATTGCCTTTCATTGATAGTGACAGCTGAAGAGTGGCGAGAGATCCAAGATTTACCTCTTTCAATGTGCTTTAAGCAGCAATGGACCAGCTGAGCTGATCGCTGGATGCACTTGTTGATGCACAGCACAACTCTGCAGGTCACACAATGTTTCTGTAAGTTATAACTTACACGGATGCTGCGTGACCAGCCTGCTCGAACCGGTGATAATTTCTGTTCCAACTTGCGAGCTACATTTACTGATATTAAATGGGCTATGTGTTGTTGTTGTATCATTAAAAACTGAAATGATGAGTAATAAGAATTATAACTAACCTGTCTGTCAAAATGACGGACAGCAAAATAGTTTAATTCAACCTCTGGTTGTCTCATGTCTGTGTTTGATCAATCAGTAATGGTTAACTCTGCAAAGTCCACCCTCATAATTCCCAAACCTTTGGAAAGCTCTACCTCCAAAACAGGGACTTTTTTCCCACCTGAAACTAGAATCGTATTTAGTTCCTAGTTCCTCCAGTTGAAACACAGGATAAATTCCTGAGTTAATCTGCTAATTCAACCTTTCATTATTTCAAAAGTCTAACACTAACACATTTCTGGGGTTACCTCAATGTAGTTGGTGAGCCAGTAGAAGCTGGGATCTGTGTTTTCCACAGTGAAGAGCACGTTGCCTCTCGGTATGATCCTACCCTCAGGGACAGCTTTGATCCGGATAGGAAGACGGCCGTCATGTTTCTGACAAAGTAACAAGCACGTTTATTTCAGGTTAGATAAATGCTGATGAAGGCCTCTCTCTGTGAATCCGTCAAGACAGACTGACAGATGAAAATCTCTTTGTATACCTCAAGGACTTTCCTCCAGCCTTCCTCATCGAACACAGCCTGTTTGAAGTGCATCTGGTAGAAGAGCTTGGCTTCCTGAATCTTCTCCTCTGTGATCACCGGGCCTTTAGAGAACACACCACGACAAGTTACAGCCACCTCAGTCCCATCCAGAAAATACGAAGGACTGACTCAGCACCCAGAAAAAAGCTTAGCCTGTGCTTCTATCCAATTGTCATCAATAGTCAGCTTACATGAAAGTTTATGAGTGTAGTTCTGTTTTGTTTCCACCTGATGTTGGAAACCATTTTAGCTCACACTTTTCAGGTGTGAACTCTCAAAAGTACAGTGTGCAACTGGCTGCAACTGAATGAGGAAACACTTGCTGCATTGCCTTGTATTAAGTTAGAGGATTTTTTTGTGCCTGATGTTTTTACTTACACTGTATGTTCTTATTCATTCATTGGGCTATTATAATTTCCCTGTGTGTATAAAGTAATGCTGTTGGAAAACAGTTTTATTTCAAGGCATTCAACAATATTTAGAGACAGCTCACACCAGAATCAAACATGCTTTTTATCTATCCAGATAGAGATATTGGCCGTACAGATGTCGGCCTTCTCTCTAATATAATGGAACCAGATCAACCAGTGGTGCTCACAGCGGAAAATAAATACATTTGAAAAACTCAACAGCAATGTCTCTTTCCAAAATCATGACCCGGTTACTCGAGATAATCCACAGACCTTGTTGTGAGCGGTTTCATACTCTCTACCGAAACTACACCCGTCAACCATAGCTGAACGTTAGCTATCCCAGAGGTGCTAGGTGAGCTAGCTAACGCTCCAGCTCAGCCGAGGAGGAAGCATTAATGTTAACATCCTGCACTGTCCCGAGCACGGGCCTCTCGTCCAGGAGTGGATGCACGCTTCCTTCTGGGCGGTGAAACATAGAAAGAAAATAGTTCCTACACCAAGGTGCTCACAACAATCTTGAGGAACCAGATCATGATTTCTGTTGTTGAGTTTTTCACATCTTTCATTTCATCTAGATGGAAAAACAGCACTTTTGCAAATTTGGTTTCACACAATTAACATGATCGATACTCTTTTAAATGTGTTCTTGGCTCATAGAAAGGACCCCAGGAGGTGTGTGTTAGTTAAGTTGACACTGGCCACTATTGTTGTGTCCACAAAACAAGCTAACAGTAATTTTGGAATTTACATGTAATGTAATAAAAATAGTGTAATAAAACGATTTTTTCCCTAAAATCATTGAATAACTGTGATAAATTAGTGTGATCTCAACATTGATCAAAATAATCGTGCAGCCCTAATAGCAGTTGGGTATGGTGATTTTGGGGTGAACTGTCCCTGTAACATCAAATTACCCATAAGCACACAATTCTTTTCTCTTTTCTTCCTATATGGTTCTGTCAATGCACTTCTCAGATTAGAGGAGACAAGGATGTGAATGTACCTGTGAGGTACTTCTTCAGCAGGTACTGAAGACCGAAGAACACCACTTCACTGAACTGGGAACCTTTCTTCCGTCGGCATTCAAAGTAGGAGTAGATTTTGCTGACATTTGGAGGATACTGTTTGTAGTGTGTGATCTGAAAGACAAGTAATAGACAGAACTCAAGCATAAGCAGCTAGCAGGTCCTGAAAAGTTCAAAAGATTAAAAAGGTCCAGTGTGTAGAATTTAGCGGCATCTAGTGGTGTAGTTGCAGTTGACAACTTATCACCCTTCCTTTCCAACTCTGGTAAGCAACCATGTAAGCATGAACTGTACTCAAGACCACTTTTTCAAGTGACCTGAGCCCAGGTATGGTACACACTGTTAACACTAATCGAACAAACTTCATCATTTTGAGTCATTTTTTAAGAAAGAAAACATCCAAATTCGCAGATTTCAGCTTCTCAAATGTTTTATATATTTTCTGCTTTCTTTAATACTCTATGACAGTAAACTGAATATCTCTGGATTGTGGATAAAACAAGACATCTGAGGATGTCACCTTGGGCTTTGGGGAACAACATTTTCTGACATTTTATGTAATTTGTATTGTCAAATAGCATAAAATAACCCCTCAGGTAACACACTAATGATAAGCTGTAAAGCGGAGGATTGTCTGCTCAACGTGATGCCTACGTGTACAGTAAACATGTTTCCAGGACCCACGTGGGAAGGTATGATGACAGCTTAAAGCACAAGTCTCTCTTTGTGCTCCTGCAGCACTAATTAAATAATAAACAGCAACAGCCAGTCAGTCACTGGAAGAAATAGCTTCAAGAGGCATTCACTCTAAATTCTTCTGCCACATCCTGCCTTCTGTTTAAAGTTCCCTCTCCTTTCCCTGTTCTCTAACTTCAATAGAGCATTTTATAAGAGTTTTAGTAATAACTAAGAAGAGTTTTTTACTTTACTTTATTTAATTTTACGAGTATGGGGTAGACCTGCTCTATTTGAAAAGTGTCCTGAAATAACTTTGGTTATGAATTGGGGCTATACAAATCAATTGAACTGAATTTACAGGTGGACAGCATAACCAAGACATGTCCTACTGTTACACGCAAAATATGTTAGGTTACTCTGACACTACGACTGGCATTGCAAATATACAGGTTCTTTCAGTTTTTAATGGAACCAAGGTTTTGTCTGTATGCTCACAGTGGTGGCAACATGGTGATGGGACATTCTGAACTTCAAGGGACACTCCACCCTGTTTTTTGAGCCATTACTAAACTAAATTATATAACTATACTGTTATGAAACACATCAATGCTGGTGTTACTATTGACATTCTTAACAAAGTTATGATTAGTTGTGGTTGTTGGTTGAAACATGCCCTCAATCACCTTGAATCATGCAAGGCTAGTGCTGACATAGAGTTGACTGTTTGGGACTACTTTAGTAGACGTGTTCAGGTCGGGACTGTTATCAAACGTGGGAAGTTTCATTGAGATTGGACCATGTACACTGAAGATATGAGTACGCCCTTCAACGTACATGCACAAATAACACAACTTTTAATCAGCTAGCTACTTCGACTGTACTGACCAATTTTGAAGCAGATTCGATGAATTCCCTAGGGGGTGTTCGTTCAAATACAAGGCGAAAAATTCATCGAAAATGAGCACGGAATTCAAAATGGCCAACTTTGACGGCACACCAAGGACACGCCCTTCAACGTACGTGCACAAATAGCACAACTTTATGATCAGCAACATCCTTTGACTGGACAGACCAATTTTGAAGCAGATCCAATGAATTCCCTAGGAGGAGTTTGTTCAAATACAAGGCGAAAAGTTCGCAGAAAGTGAAAATCAAAATCAAAATGGCCGACTTCCCATGGGGTTTGGGGTATGGTCCAAGAGGCTTTTTTGTATGTCTCGACATGTTACACATGCCTACCGAGTTCATACATATCGGTGAAACGTGGCGCCGGGGCTGCTTTTTTAAAATCCTGTAGGGGGCGCTACAAACATGACAAACACGATTTTTGGTATGTGAGCTACAGGCACCAGTCTACACGTGCACTGTGGATTTCATATTCATAACTATTACGGTCTCCGCACAGTGATTTACCCTGCCACCAGAGCGCCAGTGGCGGATTGTTGACACATTTATTAGTGAGCCTCAAGGAGCCATGGGCAGGCATCCTACCAAGTTTCATTTTAAATCACACGTGCCGTTGCAGAGATATAAACTTCTTCATTTTAAAGAGCGCCACCTTGTGGCGATGGCCTGAAATTGTGCACAATGCCTAAGGAAGACATGGGGAACTATGGACCCAAGCTTGCTGTCAATCAGACATACCAATGTGGAGAAATGCTCCACTTCCTTTTTTGATGAAAAATCCACAGGAAGTGCTAATTTTATAACGTGCTTATTTTTTGAAATATCAAAATTCTTCAAATTACTTTTTTATTAGGACATTGCTAGCATGACTACATGCTTTTTCACTGGAGCACCCAGATGCTACGTGAAAAATTTTGTGCGGATCGGACAAAGCGCATAGGAGGAACACGAAAAAGTTGTTTACGGACATTTCGCGCTTTAGCGGAAGAAAATGATATGCGGAAGTGGGCGTGGCCTATATGGGGAGATGCAGCTCCATTCACCGAACACGTGGATATAAGGTTTATGATTGTGCGACAAACGATGCGGGAGTTATTACCCTAAACGCACTTGTTATGATAGTAGCGCCATCTAGTGGCCGACCCGAAAGCGACGCATAGAATATCCAATTTTTCAGTAATAATAATAGCTAAGAAGAAACATAGCAAATACAATAGGGACCTCCAGTGGTCGCTGGCTCAGTCCCTAATAACTATATTTATATAGCACCTTTTAAAAACAGAGTTTACAAAGTGCATTGACAAACTACAAATAAGTAGTACCTCCCCATCATGGACTGCCAGTGGATTGATTCTTGATTCCTCTACTCCAAAAGGTGGAAGCAGTTATGGGGATTGACTTATAGCTCACTCCATTATCAAGGAATCTGATCATGTGTCATTGTGTGCTTTAATGGCAGTCTGCATTTAAATAAAACTATTGATATTCTATTTAACAACTATTGTATTGATACTGATGAAGTGTCTATTGCACATACATACTGCTATTGTTTTACTGCCTAGGCCTAGTGTGCACACATCAGCATGATTATGGTGTTAGCATGCTGATAACAAACCAAATCCAGGAGGCAGTAAAGTATTAAGACATATCAGACCTCGGGGAAGTGGCCAGAATCCTAAAGCTCACAGTGCTCTCAGACTGTGCTGCGGGTGCATACTGGATGTAGTCGTTAATTATTACACAAGTTGTGCAACAAAAATTTAAGCAGAAACCAAAACACACAGCCAAGTCACATGTAGTCCCTTGGCCAGTGCTCCAGTGAAAAAGCATGTAGTCATGCTAACAATGTCATAATCAGCAAACAATCAGCATCACTGCTGAGAGAATTCAATTATGCAAGAGCTTAGGAGGACATCTGGGCCTGGACTGTGTATACACACTGGGGCTGGCCCCTAATAGTCAACTAAACCGTTAGTGGATGAGAGGAGTTCGGGACAGAACACGGCGTCTGACACCATCGGAGGCCTACCAGCACGGAACAACAACATGTTGAAGATGGCAACCAGTTCAGCCGCAGCGACAGCTCTGCTTCAGCTTATCCAAAAGTTTTTTTTTTTTTTTTACATACGAACTCCAAACAACTTCTCAGTGTGCTCAGTTCTTTGGGTTGCACCTGCAGAGCATGCACGACGAGGACTCATCCATAATGATGCCTGTTGATGTACAGTCTCAAAATTCACAAATTAATAATAATAAAATGAGATAGAAAGGGAGGAGAGTGCGCCTAGGGTTATAAAACTCAACTATGAGCAGGATGCACAGACTGTGGAAATGTGATGTTTTCACATCACAGATGACAAAGAATGATGAATAAAAACACGAGGTGGCAGCAGCAGGAGGTGGTGACAAAAAGCAGCAGTAAAGCCTTCTAAGATATACAGGAAGTCACAGAAATGTTTGCATCCTGTTAGATCATCTACAGTTTGCAGACCACGTTCACATCTATTAATAAACTTTGTTGCCATCATCAACAGCACAACATGAGACACGAAACAAGAGTTAAATATTCAATTCACACAATAAGGAAAATGTAGTGTTTGCTGTCAAAACTAAGAGCCAATCAGCTGTTTGATCAGGGGACAGCCAGGCGTTTCCCACCATGCCCTGGCCCTTGCAGTTGGTTGAGAGCAACTGCAGCACCTGGTTCTAAAAACTGCAGCCGCCTCGATCTTGTGAGGTTATCGCTGCCTGTGTGTGACGTCAGAGTCGGCATTGAGTCGGACACAAATCAAACCAACGTGCATTGTGGGGCGATGGCCGGCTCATCTCAAACGAGCCCAATAAGACTCATGTAGGCTGATAGTGATTGGCAGAGAGTCTATATGACAACCAAACAGGCAGCAGAAAAGAGTGTGTGAGTAGTTTCTTTTTATTTATTAGGCTACATGCCACTCTTGTTGTTGCAAATGTTTTTAATAAAAGGAGTGTGTGTTGAAGTACAGAGGATATACTGGTTGTTTTCTGGTGTCATGATAACCCTAGATGGCAGTGCTGTTCATTTGTGTGAATGAATAATGTCTGTTGGGTAAACTAGAAGACATGAGCACACACAGTGATGCAGAGCTCCACTTTATCCCTCTGGATGCAGTTCCCTTTAAACCCCCAATAGGAACACGCACTGTAGGTGTGACTGAAATACTGTGTTCATTTAAATAAACATTTCTAGATGAGTTAATAAAAGGCTTTCACTGCTCAATCATGGAAGGCTGGCAGGCTGTCACTCACAGTGGACAGCGCTAGCCAACACGCTAAGTAAGAAATAACTTAATGTGTAACATTTCCTGAATTCATTATTTTTTCTGTTTTAATCATACATTTGCTTATATTTTATGCTTTTAATTTGATATCTTTTTAATTGTTTAAAATGATTTGCCCCAGTGTGGCTAATTTTGCAATATGTTTTATCTGTTTTATTGTTGATGGGGGTCTTTCATTCTTTTTATTCTACATACTTCTATATGATTTTAATTCTCCAATTTTATTTTGTTTTAAATCTTGGTTCTGGCCATGTAAGGCACTTTGTAACTTTGTTTTGAAACGTTCTGTTAAAGAAAGTTTTGTTATTATTGGTACTATTATTATTATTATTATTACAGTATTATCATCATTATGATGGCAAATTATTACAACCTCACTACAGGGACTTTGTATGTTTGTATGTATTAAAAGTAAATAAAAACACAACAATAAAAAAAAAAAAAAAAGGAGAAGATCAAACAGACTATTCAAATATTTACACGCTCTAACTACTACTGGCAGAAACAAACTACACCTATTTACATATAAACTATCCTAATCCAGAGATCCGGAGAGAAACAATGAGAGAGAAGGTCAAACCAACTATACACATATTTACAAGCTACAGGAACACCCTAACCCAAAGAGTTAGAAAGAAGCTCAAACTAAAGCAGAAGCGTAAGAACTGAATTTATAATGATAGATTTCTGCTGGAAGCTGCTCTGCTTTCAGTTTGAATGCCCAATATTAGGAATGCATGATATGGATTTTTTCCAGCCGATATGATAACTGACAATCACCTGCTTCTCATGGACGATACAGATAATATATAACCGACAATCTAAATAGTAACTTGAAAACTGAATTTGGAACTCCACAGAAACTGAAATAATACTGACAAGTTGAAAGCAATACATGTTAAAGCTGCAGTTGGTAACTTTCAGTCTTATTTTCTGAAACTTTCACTATATCCTGACAGTAGAACATGAGACAGATAATCTGTGAAACAATCAGGTTCCTCTGGCTCCTCCAAGAGCTCCTAATGGGATTTTCCAGAATCCACCGGGCCTGAATGAAAACAACCAATCAGAGCCAAGAAAGGTAGTTGATTGCTGAAAATAAAGTTATTTTAATAAAAGTTACCTACTGCAGCTTTAAATTCAAGTTCAAGCTGTGAAATACAATTTCAAATGCTGCATACAATATTCAGTTTGAACATTTCAAATTCAAAACTATTCAGATTTAAAAATAACTCTATTTACTTTGGCTTTCATAAAACATAAAGCCCATCAAACAATTCTTTTTTGCAGAAGAATTCAAAATAAATGATTATTATCAACTGGTCAAAAACTTGAATGAAGCAAAAAGGAAAAGTTAAACGGATGGTTACATGAGGCAAACTGTGAGTACGTTATGTTAAGACAGTATTTCAGTAAATGTAAACTGCTGTGCTGTAAATCTACTAAGCCCAGCGGACTTTGATGAGCTCATCACTGTGTACCACATCAGTTTCTATTATGTGATTGTGATGACAGACACATTGGAGGAATCCTCTTGGCCGTGCTGCTGCTTTGGACTTGTTTTCAGGGGTCGCTGGAGCTAATAAAAAGCCTGGTTGGTGATCTTTGCCATTTGGCTGTAGAGCAAACCTTTGAATGACATCTGACATTTAACTGCACTGAGCTGAGCATATGTTACTGCATATACCCGCACCGCCTGCCCAGCCAGTGGTCTGACTCACTCACTCACTCCTGGATTTAGGTTGCGAATGGACTGAAATGAAAGTGAAAGCTTAACAGGCAGCGAAAGGTTGGGCTCTGTGACACACACACACAGCCACACTGCACTGTGGACAAAGAACTTTATTTAGCATTACAGGCTGTGCATTACAAGCTAATGAATCACCATGACTTGCACTTCAGAACTTTGTTCATCAAACAACAAACTATTAACAAATGAATAGTGACTGCTGACTCTATCTGTGAAGATTCTATTATTTCAAGAACTAAGTCAATTACCTTTCACTTAGTACCCCTAGATACACTGTTACCTTAATGTTCGTTCCCACACAAAGGATCAACTGGAATTAACTGCCTGCCAAGTATAAAGCATTTTGATAATTCTAGTGAATCTACTGAATACGGTGCTCATAGCCACAGCACTCCCACAGGCCTCTGTGTGGTAAATCTTAACAGCCCCAAAGTGTAAAGGCCCTTAAATAGTCCAATGGAGATGTGGACAGCAGGGTGGACAGCACTGCTGGTGGAATCACGAGCACTGTCTAGTTTACAGGACAATCCACATCAGCTCGCTTTTATACCGCTCTTGGCTTTTCTTACCAAAGCCGATTTATACGCTGCAGTCTCCGGCCAGTTGACCACAGTTTACTACAGTTTTCCTCTGTAGCAGTGTAACATCGATGACTCAACGCCAGTAAGGTTGCTACAAGTCCTTCCCCCTCCATGTGGTAACAGTCAAGTTTCAAACAAAATATGTACCCAGGTTTTATGTAGGCGATTTGAGTGAAGTGCTAAAATACAATTAACATTTTCCAGGACAACACAGATATTTGGTCATTTTAATCCATTTTAAAGTGCTTCCATGACTGGACAACGTGTCTCTAATGTCCCAGGTATTCCAGGTAGCATGGGTTCCCACTTGTTTTAACAAATTATTTTCCAGGAGTTTTTATTAACAATACAGGACGGCATTCCCAAAGATCATATCATTGATCATTGACCAGTAGGCCTAGTATTGACACTCACCATGACATTATGGCCACAGCCCATAAGTAACACTTCAAATCAAGTACAATGTATCTTGGTTTACAGGAAAATTGGAGATGTGAGTAAGGAAAAATACAATAACAAAATTCCAGGACATCAATTATTTCAAGGATTTTTCATGATTTTAATCAAATTACAGGTGTTTCTATGATTGGAAAACTACATGTCCAGGTTTACCAGGGCAGGTGGGAACATGGGATAGCATACGCAGATAATATCACTAGCTGATATATTGCTCAGCCCAAGCTGTCAGAAAGTGTCCTGTACTGAAAGTTGGCACCAGACTAAAGGTAGTATGATTTTGGTTTTATCACTAAAACTAAACTTTGATAATCCGGTTAAATTAAAAAAAAAAAACCACAACCTTTATAAAAATGTGTTTAAACTGAGTAAAGTAAAATGTGAAGATAAGTTTTGGTTTGGTGATAATGAAACTCAGGCATTACATTGGCAGTCAGTGAAAACCCGTTCCGTGCCAAGTCATATGTTCTCAGCTACGGTTTCCTGGATTCAACCTGGATTAAATGAACTGTACACTGTAACGTTGAGCCCAGCTGCTGTTCAACTGTAGGGAGCACTGATAACAACAGTATGCACACAATACACAATACACTGTATACAACTACTGCTGGTGCCTTCCTTCCAGCTTCTACACAGCACAGTGTCGTAGCAAGTGACCAAATATACAACAGCTAACGTTATTTGTGTTGTGCAGTGGTATGTAACTGAGGTGAGTTGGATTTTTAGCTGCCCGTATTCGAATACAAGAAGGACGGGTCCACTCACCTTGTAAGAATCCGTCGCAAGCAAGAAATTAAAATCCTGTGCTGCCATTGTTGTTGTGGTTGAATGAATTAACGTAACGTTTAATGTCACTTCAGCCTCTCCGTGTCCTCGTAGCAACTTAACGAGAGAAGCGACCAGATAGAAGCCGGAGCAGGCGGTGGAGAAAAAAGCCCCCAAACGTCGACTCGGTGGGATTTTAGCGCCTGTGTTTTTCCAGCTCAGATTGAGAGTTTACAGCAGCGCTATGAAATAACCAAAGCAGTCGGCGCTCAGTGGGCTGGGGGGTTGTTGTAAAGGGGCGGGTTTCAGTACGCATGGCCACGCGCACGTCCTCACGCCGCCTTTCAGACCTGGTACGTCATGCTGCATTCACGTACAGCTGGGAATTTCTTTGCTGAGAAGGGATGAAATATTATCTGTTACTTTGAATGTAACGGAAAAAACTAATCCAATACCTTTTATTTTATTAGGAAAATATCATATCCACAAAGCGACATATTATTTTTAACTCAACCCTATCTTTAAAGAGATGAATGCTATTGTGATTCTCTTAAATATGTAACAAATAAGACATGCCAGTCAGTGGTTAACAATGCCCTGAAACGTCTGATGAATGAACTGTTGCGACTCATTGTTTAAGTTCTTAGAAATAGAAATTATTATTATTATTTGGAGGGAAGTTAAAGGAACACTAGAGCCACTATTTCTCCTTTCACCTTATCCTACATTGCATGTTAACTTATGATTGCATACTAATGTTGATCTTTTTGTAAATACCTTTGTTGAATTTAATTGGATTTGTACGGAGCCCCCCTGGAGACATTAGAGTAAAAAATAATAATGCCACGAGATAGTAACGCGTGGGCACGAGACAGTTATTGCAGTCATGTCCCTGCAGAGACTGTTGATTGGTCTCATGGACATCAGCATATTCCTTGCGTTTGAGTCCATGGATTTTGAGCAGCCGAGTTAAGTGTGTCTTGCTAAGAATGACTCCATGCTTACTGCAAGTGACTGAAGTATGTCATTGTAATTCATTCCTACATTAAAATAAAATGAAATTAATTCAAACTTGTCCATGTTAACGATCAACAGTCTCTGCATGGAAATGACTGCAGTAATTATCTCGTAACGCGTGGCCACGAGATAATAATGTTATCCAATGTCCCCAGGGGGGCTCCGTAGGGTAGTATTTGAGTTTGGTAAAGAAATAAATTCTCTTCCGTTAGTTACTGTTTTCTGTTATGATCAAGGAGCTAGTGCAGCGAGCTACTGTAGTTGAAAAGTTGTCTACCTCCACTTTAACAAGTTAATATATCATTTTGTGTGAACTATATGACAATTTATAAAGCATATATATATATATATGTCTATCATTGTATCTCTCTTATTCAGTTTGTTTGTTGCATTATGAATACTAATAGTGCTGCAGGGATGTGGTATTTTTCCAGGCCAACCTAGAAATTTGCACCGTCCTTGCTCCTTCGACAAACAGCCAATGTGATTCTTCTTTTGGATTATGACAGAAATAAGCTCTGTTGGGAACAAAGGTTTATGATACTTTTTTCTCATTTTGTTCAGCAAGATAATCTTCACAAATTAACACCAGTTTTATGATTTTGAAGCATAAATGTGATCGCCAGAAGTAAAAAGCTAATGTGAGGCTATAAACAGAAATAAGATTAGATAAACCTTTATTTATATTGATCCGAAGAGGGAAAATCCAGTTATTACAGCAGAACAAAGAAAAACAAAAAATAGATAAAATAAACTAAATAATAAGAGGTATATAAAACTAAAGCAAAAACAGAGGTAAAAAATACCAACTATGACAAAATTCCCGTGGTAAAGTGATCATCGACATATGTAAAGATGGACAACACCACAGCTCTCCAAATGTGAAGCCAAAACATCTCCATCGCCCTTTGGTGGCTGAATGCAGTATAGGTCATAAAGCCAGCTGCCTCCATGGTAGCAGATGGAAAAACTAAAGTCCATTTTTTTCAAAGATGGTTTCTGTAATTTTAGGTAGTCACATTAGTGTATGTTCAAGTGTTCATTTTTCTGATTTGATGCAATAAGAAGGGGGTTTCATGTCATGATTGACAGCTGAGTCGGTCTTGTGTAGGGGTGGGATCTCGATACTACAGCGCAAATCTCGGTCACTATTGCTCCGAATTACACCAGAAGCACAAGATATCAGTGGCTGTATCTGGGAGATTTTGGCTTCATTTTTGTACAGTGGGAGGAAGTGGAGTGAGATGTCCATACTCTTTGTGCCGATGGCGTGATCAACAGCCTGGACACCCTGGTGGTCATAATGTACTGCAACCCCATACCAACAAACTGTGATGCACTGTGTGTTCTGACACCTTTCTATCAGTTCAGCAGTTTTAGCTACAGTAGCTTTAGTATTTCATAGTGTGATATAGTTTTGTATGATATAGTATAGTCCAGTATAAAATATTATAGTATAGTATAGTATAGAGTAATATAGTTTAGTATTGTACAGTGTAATAGGGTATAGTATAATATACAACAAAATATAACATCCACAACAAAATATCTAACAGAGAAACAGTGGAGAAGGAGAGTACTGTGAGTGTCCAGTGTGGCAGACACTGTGTAATAGGTGTGTGTGTTATGTGGGTGTCTGTTGTTTCAGGTCTGTTTTGCACCTGATGATCTGGTGGCTGAATGAGTTGTCCATCCGCCACAGATCATCATGGAGAGGATGAGAGGGGTTACCAGGATGGCTTTGCTCTTGTCCTTCATCCTCCTCACTGCCCCTTCCTCCAGGCTATCCAGTTCCAGCTCATGCACCACAGAGCTGGCCTTCCTTAACAGCCTTGGAGAGTGACTGTCCATAGTCCATAAACTGGTAGCTATAGCTTGCTTGTTCACTGAGGTAACACTGAATGAAACACGACACACACAAGACAATCCTCGTGATAATGCTAGTGGAGTCAGAGAGACTGCAGGGGACACACATTTTAAGTAAACTTAAAGGTCCAGTGTGTAACATTTAGGAGGCTCTATTGTCAGAAATGGAATATAATATTCATAGGTATGTTTTCATGAATATAGGAACTGTTGTCTTTTTGTTACCTTAGAATGAGTCCGATATATTGAACCACCATGTTTCTACAGTATAGCCCAGAACGGACAAACCAAATACTGGCTCTAGACAGGAGCCTGCCGTGTTCTCATTCCTATTCACTTAGTTGCAATCTGCAACTTCACCACTAGATGCCACTAAATCCTACTCACTGGTCCTTTAAAAACAATTTGGAGCTTTTGAGAAGACAATTCGGCCAGGAGATTCTCATTGCCCAATATTGCTGTGTTTACACATACGATTTTTTCTTCTTTCTTATCATCCACCTGCCCCCCAGGAGAGCAATAAAGAAGATTAATACATTCATTATAGTGATGTGATGACACATGAAGAAGAAAACAGATTATGAGGTGCAGATTATGAGGAGATTAATCTTCAACTGCAATGAGTGAATTGCTGTCCAATATTATTTCTACCTCCCGTAAAGTGTAAAACCTAACAGCATATCTTAAGTACACAGAATACTGTGCTGTATAATCATGTAAATAAACTTTTATGTGTGAGCTGACTGAATTATTTTAGTGAAGAATAACATGTTATTTGCTACAGCAGAGTCTGAGGTTTGTCTGTGTGGTGGTTGCTGATACTGTGCGGTACTGTGTGTGTTTTTGATCTTTCACAGTGGTCGGAAGTCTGCCAGGAAATATAGAGCTAATGAACAGTGAAGTTTGCTTTGTGTTCTTTGTTGAAGATTTCAAATGCCACTTTGTTTTTCTGTGGAAGTCTCTTCTTTGTGTACTCCCCTTGGCATTGAAAGGCTTTTAGCAGAGATGGGCTCAGCTGTTTTTCAATGTTTATAGTTTTTTAAAAACTATGTGAATCATGATTGAATGACATCATCAGTCACATTCAATTCATGATATCTAATTTCCTATTGACCTGCTGAATGATTTATGTATAGGCCTCTATATGTATGTGTATATAGGCTATGTATGTGTGTTTATTTCCTGTATTATTTTGTATGTACTGTTTTTATTGGATTGTTGTTGTTTATTCATTAGTCCTTTAACTCACTGTCGGTTTCATTTTGATATTAGTATAGTTTAATTTTTTTGAGGCTGCAGTAGATAACCTTTATAAAAAAAACTTTATATTGTCATATCTGCTGAAACTTTCACTATGTCCTGACAGTAGTACATGAGACAGATAATCTGTGAAACAATCAGCTTCCTTTGGCTCCTTCTGGTACTATGACAATATGACAAAATAATGTGTTTTTTTTATAAAGGTTACCTACTACAGCTTTAAAAAAAAAATTCTCCTTAAGGGATGGGAGGTCAACTGTATAATGGCTATAAACTATAGCTTCTTGACCTCTCCTGACATGTCTTATTGCTTTTTAGATTGTATGCAACTGTGTTCAAATAAAATAAAATAAATAAAGTGTGGCAGACTGAATTAGCTAAAAAATAGTGTCCATTGTTGGAGGTTCCCTTCCAACACATACACATATCCCAGCCTTGCATGTAAACTCAAATTAATGGTATTGTTTGGGCAAAACAAATGTTTATTGTGTTTACAAGAGTTTCTGAGCTCAGAATACTCTTTGCTGAGCCTTCTCTGCACTAGCAGTAAACATTCAATTATAGGACCAGTGTGTCGGATTGAGTGACATCTAGTGAAGAAGGTGCTGAGTGCAGCCAACTGAATACTGCTGTGGAGGAAACCTGGGAAAAAATGCGAATGGCCCTATCTAGAGCCAGTGTTTGGTTTGTCCATTCTGGGCTACTGTAGAAACATGGTGGTTCAACATGGTGGACTCTGTAGAAGAGGACCTGATCCCCCCATTCTAGGGTAACAAAAACACAATGATTCTTATTTTCAGGTGATAATACACTTCTGAACACGTACATATTACTACTTTATTCCATTTCTGACAATAGATCCTCCTAAATGTTACGCACTGGACTGTTAAAAGTCTGTGGTGTCATTGACACAAAGAATAACTGATGGTAGGGATTGATTTGGGATACGTATGCTATTGAAGAACATTTTATGAAGCCCTAATTGTAAATGTCTGTGTGCAGAAATCAAAGCAATTTAGCTCGTAGGTATGCTGTTTTAATCAGCCAAGTGTAGATAGATAGATAGATAGATAGATAGATAGATAGATAGATAGATAGATAGATAGATATCATTCAATTGGTCATTTATTTATTTTAAACCAGTGACGCTTTTATTGTGAAATCTGAATCGCTTTGATTCCGGTCTGGTGCTGCTTAAACCTGTCCTCTTTTGACTCAGCTGGATCATCAGGTGGCCGTTCATCCATTGTGCTCACAGCCTGCTCAAACTGATCCCAGAGCAGCCGGGGATCAGGTTTCAGCACCGCGGTCAGCTCCCAGCCCTGCCCCCTCCCCCCCTCCTCCTCCTCCTCCTCCTCCAGGCACCAGAGCCTCAGTACATCAACGTTTCCTCCTGTTTTCCCTCGCTGCGACCCCTCCCCCTTTACATCTGCTCTCACCAGAAATCCCTCCTATGTGTCACTGACTGGCACTCTTGGAAATCACGCCACCAACTAGACTCTACAACACTTTCGTTTTTCTTGCAGTGACTCGTCTGACGGCAGTTTTTTTTCTTGGAAAGCAACAGTCTCTCCAGCAGTCAGCTTCAGCTTTCCACAGCGGCTCCCCCCCTCCCCCAGATCTCTCCCCCCGGATCTCTCCCTCTGTCGCTGACTCTGATCACTCTTGATCGGCATTTACTTTTGCAGTTTGACCTTTGCAGCAGGAGTAGTCTCCATCCGAGCCTCGGCAGCATGTTGGACCCGTCTTCCAGCGAGGAGGAAGGGGACGAGATACTGGAGGTGGAGCACAAAGAGGTGGCGGCCCCGAAGAGCCTCGGAGGAGCCCGGCTGTCACCGGGCCGAGCCGCCGACGGCCACGGCGTCGGAGGGCTCCAGCCCCGGGGCCGCGGCGGCAGCGGCGGCGTCCGACCCTCCAGCCCCAGCCCGTCGGTGGGCAGCGACAAGGAGAAAGAGGACATGGAGAAGATGCAGAGAGAGGAGGAGGAGAAGAAAAAGAGACTCCAGCTGTATGTGTTTGTGATGCGCTGCATCGCCTATCCGTTCAACGCAAAGCAACCCACCGATATGGCCAGGAGGCAGCAGAAGGTAAGATCAGAGTGAAAAAGCAGATAACTTCAAAGCTGGTTTTTATATTCATCTTTCACTTCCTGAAGGCATCGCTGAGATACATGACACCAACTGTTGCTTCCATAGTCGCACCATGGCGCTGCATTGGTCGAATATTTAAGAACGCAACTCAATTTACTCAAGCCTGTAGTCTGAGGCGGATCTTCTTCACATATCACAGTTACTGCTCATCACACCAGGGTCCAAACATCAATACTTGTCGTAGAAAAGGTAGTTGATGTCTCTGTGCAATCCGAGATGATAGTCACACTCCCTCACTGCACATATAAAGCATCTACCCACCAGAGGCAGGCTGTACTATCTCTCTCTCATATATGTTCTTTTTCTCCCTCCACCCAACATCCTGGAAACAAAACTCAGGGCAGAAAAGGTTCAGAAGCTTTCAGAAAGAATGAAATGCTACTTCAAACTAAATACAGACGGTGTTGGTAAGGAAAGGATGATGAGAGAGAGAGAGAGAGAGAGAGAGAGAGAGCATGTGTATCCATATTGCTCCCACCCATTGTAGTAGCTCTTGCCTCTGGCTATTGAAGCATCAGTGCTGTCCCCTCCTTCTGCTGGTCTCAAGCCAAGCTCTTATTAGAACAATCTATTCCACAGGAGAAACAGCTCCTCCACACCACTCATCCCAGCCACTGAATGACATCCTCTGTAGGAGGCATGTTTCTATATACAGTACATAAACCAGCTTTGATTGGCTGCTTATGAAGCTCAGAATGTCACTGCACCTGACACAACCTGAGCTATATCAGACCAATGTATTGGTTTGGTTGTAAAATGGAATAGTGGGCTCGGGGGCATGTGTTTCCAGACACATAATGACAGCAATCCAAAAATTGCAAGATGGCTCACTCTTTACCTGCTTCCTTCATCAGCTATGATCTGATTGGTCGAAATTTGCCCGTGATCATCCAATCACCTGTTGAGTATTTTTGAAAGCCCCTGCCCTTTTCCGTCCTCCCCTAATCGGAATGCTGTCGGTTCGATCCCCGGCTCGGTATCGGTGTGTGAGTCTGTATGAATGCGTTAGTTTCTGTTCCATGGACTTTGCCATCACTGAGTGAATGTGTGTGAAAGGGTGAATGTGGCACGTAGTGTAAAAGCACTTTGAGTGGTCGGAAGACTAGAAAGGCGCTATACAAGTACAGGTCCATTTACCATTTACCAAACAGTTTGAAATGACGACTTCCCAAAGTCACATTAAGAGAGGGGGGAGACACGATAAACATTCAACTATGGTGATAACAGTGCAGACAATCAGACAGTCCTTGCCGGCAGTCATATGTTGCACTTGGATGTACGCGCACAAAGTGATGGAAGTAGATCTGTAAAAGAAAAGAGAGCCTGAGATACCTTCACATGGTTTCTGAACTGGAAGACCCACCTGCACTGGAATTAGAGGTATTCAGTGACAGTATGGCTCTGAGTCCTTCATCTGTGTCTACACCCAGCAATCCCTTCAGCTACAGTAATGCTATGCAGTGCTCAGACAAGTTTTAACAGCACTCAGCCCAATACATAGTCATCATACACAGTCATAGTATGTTAATTGGAAGAAAATATGGATTGTGGGGACACAATGTGATCCATTACAAGGCTGGTGTAGATATATTACATACATATTTCGACATCTGAAATGCTGGCCTAGATGCTTACACATTCACACCTGAAAGCTGCCTAGTACCAATCTGCTGGCCACTGAGCAGCTCCACTGGTTAAGGCCTTGGTAATGAGGGAGGGGCAAGAGTTGCTTTTCTCCAGGGGGTTGAACCAATTCCATTCAATTCAATTCAATTTTATTTGTATAGTGCCAATTCATAACAGAAGTTATCTCAGGACACTTTTCAAATAGAGCAGGTCTAGACCGAACTCTTTAACATTAATTACAGAGACCCAACAGTACCACCATGAGCAAGCACTGGCGACAAGGGCAAGGAAAACTGCCGTTAAAAGGCAGAAACCTAGGACAGATCCTCCGGCTCTGCCAGTGATCTTTCAGTCACAAGCTGGCTTCTCTAACCTTTAGGCCACCACTACCTACATTTAAGAAGCCTCTTCAAGCAGACTGAACCTGAGCAGCCAGATTTTGTGGTATTTCGTTCACTTAGAATAGAATAGAATAGAATAGAAAGCATCTAGTGTAAAAGCACTTTGAGTGCTTTGGAAGACTAGAAAGGTGCTATACAAGTACACTCATTTAGCATGGGCTCAGCACGTAGCAATATATGCTGATTTGATAGCAAACAATCACATATGTTAGTATTTGCTTGGCAAAGCCCCCTGGATGAAGATATTAATATATGTTAATCAGTTAACACATGTAGATTCTGCTTGAGGATTATTTGGCCATGAGCGCAATGCACATTCCCACCACAAAGACCTGAGGGAGAGGTGCATTACTGTGGCAGCCATTTACTGAAATAAAAGAAAAATCAATGTTTGTACTTGTGTCTAAAATACACAGTAAACACAGTGTGAGAAAACCCTGACAACACTGTAAGGATTCTGCTGTTAAACTGTAAATACAAATGAATAATTCAGTCAGTTTTCACTGCTCAGCAGTGAATGAATTTGTAAAATTTAAATACTTGTGAAAAGTAAGAAAGAGCAGTGTACTCTCTCTCACAGTGAAGGACCTGTCTTCAAACTGCAACACCAGCTTTCATAACAAATCTCTAAAAGCTAAAATGTCACTTCAAGAGAAACTTATAACATATCAAAACTACACCACTCACCTTTTTGGCCAGTAGGAGACAGGAAACATCAAAACATGTGAACAGATACACAGTCACCATCATGTCCTTCTCATAGAGTTTATAATGGCCAGCATGTAGTTTTAGAGTGATCTCAGTATTGCAATTCATGTAGATAGATCATCTGGTATTCAGTGATATTGCTTTACAGGTAGACAGGTAGGTAAAAAGCATCAATATGCATGTTCAAATGTTTGGTACACAACAGAAGGAAACGACTTACTGGGCCAGAATTAAAGCTTCACAATGCCGAGCAAAGTCACTTCAGCTTGTTTAATACCAAAAGAAGAAGTGAGACCAATGTTTCATCATCACAAAGCTATCGGTTCATTCATTGTGCACTTGAAGTCCTGCCATTTGGCCACCCTTTTTGAATGAAGCTTGGTGGGTGCGTCTGGAAGATGCCCTAAGATGTTTTCAGTGAGTTTAATCAAGGCATCTTGAATTCTGATCAAATGTGCTATGCCACTCACACTTTTACCAATAAACGCAGCATTTAAGATTGTGGTTAATACCTGCCCCCAGAATTTATTGAGCTAAATTTAAGAATTTGTACTGTGATCTAAAATTAATAATAAGCAAAGAAATCTTTCAAGAAGGCACAATTTCTTCAAACAGCATAATAAAAATAAGTGACTTTGTCATTCTGAAAAAGTAAACAGCTGCTTCATTTAACACGTGCAAGTGGTCTTACTGTTAAAATAGGATAATAATCTTGTTCCTCTGCTGGGGTATTATGCAAACTATTGTTTGTTACTGGTTAAATCGAGCTCAATATTAGCTGAATATCTTATTAAGACAAAGTTAGATATATTTTCTTAAAACCAGATTACTTTTCTAATGTAGAACATGCTCAACAAGATTTTTCTTTTTAGGCAAAAATAAGTTTCTTTTCACAAAGCTTTTTTACTTTCTTGAGATTCCTTTTTTGTAGTGTGGCCTTTTCTAAATTGGCCTTATTACAGCGCCACCATCTGGCAGATTGAGCTCATGTTTCTTGGGAAGCCTTTGCACATTTACAGTTATTGGACCAAGTTTCATGTTTCTAGCTCATTCTAGCTCACAGCAATTTGTTGGGGTCTGTACCAAACAAACAACAAACATGTTTTCAAATCTTGTTCAAATCTTTTGTAATCTTCAAGATGTGTAGGCCAGGGCATCTCTACACTACAGTAATGCTGTTTGTTGTACATTTTACCTTTACCAAAAAATAACAGCTTCTTTTGCACTTGGCCATATTGCGCAGCCCTGATTTTGGCAAGTAAATAATTAAACATATTTTCCAAAATGTTCCATTAATATATATATATATATATATATATATATATATATATATATATATATATATATATATATAAAGTTAGTGTCAGATAGTTGTTTATGTCCTGCTAGAAGTGGAGCTTAATGATGGTCAGTCAGTTGTTTGATCATCTATGTATAAATATATGTAGATAGATAGATAGATGAAGGTTTGGACAAGTGTGCTTTCCAAAGCATGAAACAATACCATAGGAAATTAATGGAATATTCTCCCTGCATCTATACCACAGCACAGCACAGCACAGCACAGCATGGAAAGCTCACTGAGTGAGGGAGGTGCTGCTGTAAATCACACAAACTGAGATGTCATCCTGACTAGTGATTCTACCATCGATGAAGAGAACAGGCAGCAGCCATTAAGATAGATACCAGTATGTCTGTGACTGGTCCAGAACAGACTGCTGTGTCTCAGACGTCAGCACACAGCTTTGGTTGGTCATGTTGTTCCATCTCTCATGTTCAAGAAATTGGCACATCAATGGAAGGAACAGTGTTTTAGACTGAAAGACATCCATGTACTGTATTGTTGTCATATGGGAGTTTTAATAGAGCCTGACAGTGTCATCACCTCTCTTCAGGGATGTGCTGAAAATTGAAAAAAAAAAACCCCATACAACTTGTAACCAAAGTTTTTATTTATAGTACAGAAACATAGACTGTATAAATGAAAATGGAGACTTAGTCTCTTTGATGTCCCCATAGGGCCGTTGTGAAGCTTACTGTCTTGAAAATTCTGGCTCCGCTGGCTCCCACTAATTGAAAAATGTTGGAGCGTGTTAAAAAGGTGGAGCGTGGGTGGAGCTAAGACGGGCTGAATGAAGCCTGGTTACTGAAAACAGCCACCTGTGAATGCACCCACCTGTCACTCAAAGCAGCCACTCCCTT